ATACGGATTTTGGAGTCATTGAAAGGGTTGAAACTTTTCGATAATGTGTCATGAAGAAGTGTCCAAGTAGGCTAGGTGCTAATTTTTCTCAGATTTACGCCAATTTATGCTTGATCTGAAAATTTGGTCGGAAGCGCCGTATGGATAGTGTGACGCAATTGCGGAGCCTCCGGAGGCATGCAGAGGTCAAATTGAGCTCCATACCGCATCTCTGTGTGCCTCTCAAATGTTGTAACAATGCGGAGGGCTCCATATAGCTCCGCATTGACATGATTGGTTGACGGTAGGTGAGTCCTGTACAAACACAAACTCACTACCTTGACAACTTCCTTCACAACAGCTCTGCTCTGCGTAGCGCAAGAAGTATGAATGCCCAGACTTCTGCAGAGGCCGTATCACTGTAAATGCTGCACGGCCAATGCTGAAGTCGGATTGAACATGCAGCGCCTTTTAAGACTCCAGCTGTTCAGTCGTGGTGTACTCCTGAACCAGTGACTTCAGATCCTTCTGTTGCTTGCGGTAGCGGGGTCTTTGCCATGCCGGAGAAACGCCAGCAAGTTGCTACTCCATTCTCATTTTACTTCTTTGCTGCTGTCATTGCAATGCCTTGATGAACTTCCAAATGGTGGGGTGGGTAGCGCCAAGATTGGCAAAACATTTTCCATGCCAGCCCTCCACTCCGTTGTTGGTTTTCGCCAAGTCTTGCAGGACAGCATTGTAGCTGTTCCATAATTCTGAAAATAAAAAAGAGCGAGAAGCAGATTAGCAACCATGTTATTGGCCTTGGGCATGCTATCGTCAATAATACAAATAATAAAGCCATTATTATGTTAAACAAGACATATGGGAAACATTCGCTTTCTTCCAATGCGTCCGACCTTCTCCCCAACCCATGTTGCCTGAAAGTATGTCAGGAGCTCCTCCAGTTGATGTTCCGGGCGCTGAAAGAACAGCGTATCCAGCATAATTTGAAGATAACCCCGTCAACCTCGGCATTCGAAAGCATCATATTCGGTGCACTTCCAGAAGGACTTATTTGCGGTTTGTCGCTCCCGTCTGTAGGTGTAGCCTTCATGCCCCTGGTTATGAAACTCTGGTGACGTCCCGGTTGCTTGTTCTGACCTCTAAAAATAATAAAAGCTGAGGGTAGCAGTGCAAGGTCTTTTTAAGCAGAATATTTGGATTATTAGCATATGAACGACTTGCAATTCGATTGCTGGACTATTGAAGCCATCCATCCAACCCATTTATTTAGATCTGGCAGTTCAAAGAGGACAGTTTCAAAGGTAATGGATTGGACATAGTTATTGTTCATTAGCAGCGTACATTTGCATTCATTCAGTTAAATCTCTTGAAATAGCCTATACTGTTTTTGTGCACTGTTTAGCCTACTGTACTGTTTGTCTGCCTGTCTTGGTGAGAATCTTAAGTTAATAAAATACTAAAATAGTCTCCTTCAGTTTATGTGCACATAGCAGGGATGGGAAACTACAGTGCTCAGGGGCCGGAGTGGTGTCAAACTTTCCCCCATCCCTAATCAACACAGCTGATGAAACTAATTGCGTTCTAAACTGAAGATCATGATTAGTTGATTATTGGTGTCAGATGTGTTAGCTTGGGCTGGGGCAAAAGTCAGGCCCCAGAGGACTGGAGTTGGCCATCCGTGGCCTATAGAGTCAACTCAATATGGTAATCTGTTCTTTTGAAATGGCGTCCATTTTCGGTATCATATTGAGACTAAATGAAAGGACATACGCCAAATGGAATTGGTGATGTTTTCCTATATTAAATGGGCTTATTAGGCTGTTTAAAATGTAGGGGGAAAGGCAGACATTTTATATAAACATGGATTTCTGTGGCTTGAATTTCATAATCATTTTCGTTTTCAGACTGTTTTCCTTTGGTAGGCCTACCCATGTGTCTCACCTCACTCTGAAAGCCTGATCACTGATGTCAGTATCAAAGCTGATAATTGTGACTTGATTAAATTGGAATGATGTGAATAATGATAATGATGATGGTGAGAGCCCAGTAAAGCCTAACCCTTTAATCATAGGCTATTGTTACTTTGTGTCTCTAAAATCTCAATGTTTCAATTTCTATAGTCATGTGACAGGTTTTTTAAAATTGAAATATCCAAATATCGGCCTTTTACCAGATAATTATTTGGCATGGAATGTTCTATTTTCATAACTGATCAGAATTCGGTATGCTATAGCCTATAGATAATATTCTGCCCATATGAACACATTTATTTTAGGCCATATAAAGAACAGTTATGCATGATTTAATGAAAAGCAGCAAACAGACACATTGTTTCACATTCTTTAATAAAATACTCATAAACAGAAACAGTTAATAGGCTATATAGCTGGCTTCACAGTTTCCCCACAAGATAGCCCCGCCTACAAGGAAACTCGACATATCTCGACGATGTTGAGTGCATGAGGAGGTCTGTGCGCTGTGTAGTACCTTCCACAAAAAAGTTTTGCTCTACAAAAACACATGTAAGCGTTCTACTGTACAGTACTGTACTGAACTATACTTTTTTTTACTGTACTGTACACTACTGTGCTCTGCTGTACTGTACTATACTATACTGTGCTTTCCAAACATAGACATCTATGTTTCACAAGTTCATCAAAGTACATCACAGAGTACGGCACAGCACAGAACAGTAGAGTTCAGTACAGTATATTATAGTGTACTGAACTCTAGTGTGCACTACTGTGTACTGTACTGAACTCTACTCTATGCTACTCTACAGTACATCACTGTACTGAACTATACTCTCCTTTCTTTACTGTACTGTACTGAACTATACTCTACTTTTCTTTACTGTGCTTTACTATACTTTTCTTTACTGTAATATACTGTACTGAACTATACACTACTGAACCATACTCTATTTTTATTTTCTTTACTGTGCTGTACACTACTGAACCATACTCTATTTTTATTTTCTTTACTGTGCTGTACTCTACTGAACCATACTCTATTTTTATTTTCTTTACTGTGCTGTACTGTACTGAACTATACTCCTACTTTTCTTTACTGTAATGTACTGTACTGAACTATACTCTACTTTTCTTTACTGTGCTGTACTCCACTGTAAGGTACTGTACTGTCCAAACCTGTGAAACATAGGCGTCTATGATTGGTTCAGATTTGGTTAGTTCCAGACCAACTACAAGGGTCTTTACTTCAACATTGTTGTGTTTTGATGTATTTCTGATACCTTCTAAGACTTTTTCTGGTAGATCTGTTCTAATTTTTTCCTCTTTTTTTTTTACCACTCCAGATACAAACGAACAACAACATACTTGGCCTTAAATTATAGCAATTTGTTTTTCTCGGTCGCTCATGCTATTTAAATAATAAATCATTAATTTTTCAATTGTGTTAATGATGGTTGATTGATTGATTTCCATGTTTTTAGTATATGTTTTTTTCAAGATGAGTGAGAAGAGAATCTTCCAGCTCATTGGTTATCTCACTACACTACCATATGCCATGTCTTGAAATATGCAGACAAACGGATTAAAAGTAAGTTTACATTGTAATACTTCTGACAGCCAACTTTCTAGCTCCGCACACAACTTCCGGACATTATAGCATTCCCAGAAAGCATGGATTATGGAGTCATTATTAGTTTTACACTTAAGACATTACTTTGCCGTTGTGCTGTAGAATTTGTTAATTTTGTCTCTTGTATAATTAATTATATATATTAGTTTATACTGGATGAGGCGTACATTTACGTTAACTGTGATTTTGTTAGTTATGCTCCAACTGGTAGATGTTTTCTAAGACCACCTTTTCTAAGATCCCCTTTTGACAAGAAATCAAAGCCTTTGCTTGTTCTTAATTTCCAGGATGGAAAATGGTTGAAAAATGTAGACTCTTGGCTTACATTTGACACCCAATTTGACATGCTCCTACGAACTTCACATGTTGGTGCTCATGGGTCCTTTTACATGGAAATGACCCCCTGTTATAACACTGGAATGCACGTACCATTATAGTAAATCAGTATAGCAGGTGTGGTACTATGGATGCATATGGGACATCTTGGCTATTACTGTGTAACTTTGTAACTGTTCACATAACAGTGGACTGTAGTGAGCATCAGTTATGTCCCATATGCAGGGCTAGGTGCACAACAGTATTGTGCATGGGACATCTAGGCCTAACTGTGTTGTGTACTGTGAGATCCATCTGCAAAGGACATTTTTCTGTATGCAAATCACTTTTTATTCCTTGGTCTTTATTCAGCTATTTTGATTAGAATCATGCTGTCATGAGCAGTGTGAGGCCAGTTGCCTGTGTGATCCAAATATAGCTTTTTGAGAGGAAAGTAGGAAAGTACGAAAAGGATGGTGGTCCAACTTACGACCTGTGGTGAACTCCCAGTGAAGGTGGAGGGGTTGAGTCTTGACCAGAAACAGAGCAATGATGGCTAGGAGGTGAATTAGTTGTTTTGGTTTGGGTCTGACAGCTTGTAAGGCACAATGTCCAAACTTAAAACGCCTTGATGTCATGTCACAACCATATTGAAAAAACCGACTGTGTTCCGCAGCTGTAGGATTCAGATTAAGGCTACCGCAACAGCACCGAATTGAGTAGACCAACAATTTGCAGTTTAAATGAAATGATGGTAATATAGCGTCTGTTGCACAGACGTTAAGTCAAATAACATAGTCTGTTGAAATGGAACTTCAGTATCCTCCTATTCATAATGAATGAATTCAGTGTATCTTGCCTCTTGCTTCCGCCCTGCTTGCGGTCTTACTGTATGGGCTGCGCTAGTGAAAGTGACATTTCATAAAGCATACAGCGCAGCGGCAGAGCGCGCTTGTTCGCTCCCGGTCGGTTCTACGACAGCCTATGTTCCTACAGTCACAGCCTATGTTCCTACAGTCACATAGTGTTTGCCACTTGTGTCCAATGGGACCATCAATCACGCTGCCTGCCAACAAACCACAATGTTGTTGATACACATGGTTATACAGGCGCTTCCTATTTGTCAGAAACAGGTGTGCCTTTCTTTGCTACATGCATAAGGATCAAATTTGTATAACATATTAATACTAATAGCTTGTATATATTGAGGAATTCCCCATGCATTTCACTTTGGTCTGAATATAGCCTAACTATCAAATAGGAAAACTGATTAGATATATAATGATATTTAATGCATAGACAGTGCTTTCGGAAAGTATTCAGACCCCTTCACCTTTTCCACATTTTGTTAAGTTACAGCCTTATTCTAAAATGGATTAAATAAAAATGTTTCCTCATCAATCTACACACAATACTCCATAATGACAAAGCAAAGACAGGGTTTTAGAAATTTTTGCAAATGTATAAAAAAAAAGAAAGAAAAAAGAAATACCTTATTTAAATAAGTATTCAGACCCTTTGCTATGAGACTCGAAATTGAGCTCAGGTGCATCCTGTTTCCATTAATCATCCTTGAGATGTTTCTACAACTTGATTGGAGTCCACCTGTGGTAAATTCAATTGATTGGACATGATTTGGAAAGGCACACACCTGTCTATATAAGGTCCCACAGTTGACAGTGCATGTCAGAGCAAAAACTAAGCCATGAGGTCGAAGGAATTGTCCGTAGAGCTCCGAGACAGGATTGTGTCAAGGCACAGATCTGGGGAAGGGTACCAAAATGTTTCTGCAGCATTGAAGGTCCCCAAGAACACAGTGGCCTCCATCATTCTTAAATGGAAGAAGTTTGGAACCACCAAGACTCTTCCTAGAGCTGAGCATCTGGGGAGAAGGGCCTTGGTCAGGGAGGTGATCAAGAACCCGATGGCCACTCTGACAGAGCTCCAGATTTCCTCTGTGGAGATGGGAGAACCTTCCAGAAGGACAAACATCTCTGCAGCACTCCACCAATCAGGCCTTTATGGTAGAGTGGCCAGACGGAAGCCACTCCTCAGTAAAAGGCACATGAAATCCCACTTGGAGTTTGCCAAAAGGCACCTAAAGGACTCTCAGACCATGATAAATGTTTTTATCTGGTCTGATGAAACCAAGATTGAACTCTTTGGTCTGAATGCCAAGCGTCACGTCTGGAGGAAACCAGGCACCACTCATCACCTGGCAATACCATTCATCCCTACGGTGAAGCATGGTGGTGGCAGCAGCATGCTGTGGGGATGTTTTCAGCTGCAGGGACTGGGAGACTAGTCAGCATCGAGGGAAAGATGAACGGAGCAAAGTACAGAGAGATTCTTGATGAAAACCTGCTCCACAGCGCTCAGAACCTCAGACTAGGGCGAAGGTTCACCTTCCAACAGGACAACGACCCTAAGCACACAGCCAAGACAATGCAGGAGTGGCTTCAAGACAAGTCTCTGAATGTTCTTGAGTGGCCCAGCCAGAGCCTGGACTTAAACCCGATCGAACATCTCTGGAGAAACCTGAAAATAGCTGTGCAGCAACACTCCCCATCCAACCTGAAAGAGCTTGAGAGGATCTGCAGAGAAGAATGGGAGAAACTCCCCAAATAAAGGTGTGCCAAGCTTGTAGTGTCATACCCAAGAAGACTCGAGACTGTAATCGCTGCCAAAGGTGCTTCAACAAAGTACTGAGTAAAGGGTCTGAATACTTACAGTACCAGTCAAAGGTTTGGACATACCTACTCATTCAAGGGTTTTTCTTTATTTTTTACTATTTTCTACATTGTAGAATAATGGTGAAGACATCAAAACTATGAAATAACACATGGAATCGTGTAGTAACCAGAAAAGTGTTAAACAAATCAAAATATATTTTAGATTCTTTAAAGTAGCCATCCTTTGCCTTGATGACAGCTTTGCACACTCTTGGCATTCTCTCAACCAGCTTCACCTGGAATGCTTTTCCAACAGTCTTGAAGGAGTTCCCACATATGCTGAGCACTTGTTGGCTGCCTTTTGAATAACATTTTTGCTTGCTTCAGTCCTAGATTATAAGGAATGAGAAGATCAGAGTACATGCAGTCTTTGTGTGTATGCTGTTTTTGTTAATGTGATGAAAAGCTTAATTCCATCCATTTCTGTTATTCAAGTCTTATCTAACATATCCTACTTTTTTTGTTTCCAGGAACCAGTGGTTTTAACAGACACCAATCTAGTGTATCCGGCTCTCAAGTGGGACATCCCGTACCTGCAGGACAACATTGGGAGCGGGGACTTCTCTGTGTACATCGCGGAAAACCACAAATTCCTCTACTATGATGAGAAGAAAATGGCCAACTTTGAGAACTTTACACCCAAGTCTCGACGGATAGACATGAAATTCTCTGATTTTGTGGAGAAAATGCATAAAACACAGGAAGAGGGAGGAGATGTGAGGTAATGTGTTTGTCTAAATTGGTATATGAAACCATATTTTAAGGGAGGATGATCTGCTGTTTGATCTGCTGTCTTGCTGCATTTGAGCTAGGTCCTTAGGGACAGTTGATTAGAAAGATTAGACATTTTCTCAATGCTGAATAAAAAATTATTAAATGCTATCCAGTCTAGGTGTTTACATTGCAGGTGTGCTGGCAAGTGCTCAGCAGTGGAAAGTAAGGTGTTGAGTGAGTTCAATTAAATCTAATGCAGGAACTGAAATACATCGCTGTGGAGAATGACTTAGCGTTTACGCCGGCACCTTGGGAACACTTTGTACCACTCTCACCTGACTGAGTTACTTGGCCTGGGACACATGCACGCACTCATCACTCACTGCACTGAGCCCTCTTCCTTAGAACTAATGCTTGCTGCTTGTGTCCACGTACTGTAGGTTTATTCAGTCAAATTAAGTTTTCTGTCAAGTTTCTACTGTTGTGGTGGTTTTGTGCAAAGATTCCTTGCAACATTTGTTGCATGGCAATACTGTTTTCTGATTCTGATTCAAATCCTTCTTTGTGGTTTGGAAAGGAATGCTTTCTCCTGAGCCGAGTGGAACATTTATATTGGCAAGACAAGCTTTCATTTCCTGACGCACATAAACAAGTACACTTGACTCCTGATAAGTGGAAGTGCTTTGCAGTTCAACTGTCCCTATTCTATTACATTCTGCTTAATTGCTCTGGATATCTGTGTGCACCAATGGGTTTACAGCAGCACATATATTTTTATTTTTTAAATTGTTTCAACAATTTTCCATCCTTAAATTAGGAATAAGCAAAGGCTTTGATTTCTGGTCCAACGGATGGAAAAGGGGTCTTAGGAAACGTCCACCAGAAAGTCTTAAAGGTATTAGAAATACATAAAAACACAATATTGTTGAAGTGGAGACACTTGCCTACTAATATCAACATCTATATTTCATTTTGCTAAAATGATTTGCCTTCTGTAAGTTTAAGAAATATTGCCTAGTGTCTAGTCATTCTCTTACAAAAAAAACACATCTTTAAGATATTTTCTAATTTCTCTCCATCATGAGGGAGGATAATGAAAGTTCACAGAAGTAACAAGTAAAGGTAGACCTACCAATTAGTTAGTGTTTTTACTGATAACAATTTTGTTTATGATTTATTAAGTGATTCAAACTTGTCATTCTGTCACAATCTGTAACTGAATGACTGCAATTTAATTGGCTAAAATGGGAAATGATAGTCACAAACCACAGTTGGGTCGCCTGCTACTGTCCTCCCTTCCACTTGTATGCTGTTACAGTGCCTGCAGAAAGTATTCACACCCCTTGATTCAATTGAGATTGTGTCACTGGACTACACGCACAAGCTCATAATGTCAAAGTGGAATTATTATTATTATTATTAATATTATTATTTTTTGTTGTTGAAAGTAGTCCTTGTGCATAGTTGTATGTTTTGTTTAACTTTGCAATCAGGGTCGTTCCGCCTCAAAAAGCACAAGAAAGAGGATTTCAACACCCACTATCTCAGATTGTTCTGAAATCGTTTCTGTAGTTTAGCATTCCTGAAACATTATTATAATTTGATCTTTGAGAAATTAAGCTAATTGATTGCACCCGAATTGGCTATTTTCATTTATAGGATTCAATAAATATAGTACCCCACATCCAATTTGGACCAAACTTCTTCTTACCAATGAGTAAGACATGAGGAATATCCAAAAAAATTCAAAAGCCACCCACGGACCCCGCATACCCCATTCCAGTCCCACCCCAACAACCAGTAGACAGTATCAGTTCTCTATGTTTGACAAGTAATATGAAGCTGTGGCTTGGAGTATTGCGTCTCCATACTATGTAATGTATTCCCTGTGAATCTGGTGATGTTTCTTTTCCCCCTGTTCAGAGAAATTAGTCGCTTTCATTATTTACCATAAAGTAGTGTGAAAGTACCAAGTTTTGACCACTAGATGCCTTTGTTTCTGCTTTACCGCCACACTCATTTATCAATTTAGCTGGTCTCTTGTATTTATTAAATACACTATACAGTGAGGGGGAAAAAGTATTTGATCCCCTGCTGATTTTGTACGTTTGCCCACTGACAAAGAAATGATCAGTCTATAATTTTAATGGTAGGTTTATTTGAACAGTGAGAGACAGAATAACAACAACAAAATCCAGAAATATGCATGTCAAAAATGTTATAAATTGATTAGCATTTTAATGAGGGAAATAAGTATTTGACCCCCTCTCAATCAGAAAGATTTCTGGCTCCCAGGTGTCTTTTATACAGGTAACGAGCTGAGATTAGGAGCACACTCTTAAAGGGAGTGCTCCTAATTTCAGTTTGTTACCTGTATAAAAGACACCTGTCCACAGAAGCAATCAATCAATCAGATTCCAAACTCTCCACCATGGCCAAGACCAAAGAGCTCTCCAAGGTTGTCAGGAACAAGATTGTAGACCTACACAAGGCTGGAATGGGCTACAAGACCATTGCCAAGCAGCTTGGTGAGAAGGTGACAACAGTTGGTGCGATTATTCACAAATGGAAGAAACACAAAAGAACTGTCAATCTCCCTTGGCCTGGGGCTCCATGCAAGATCTCACCTCGTGGAGTTGCAATGATCATGAGAACGGTGAGGAATCAGCCCAGAACTACACGGTAGGATCTTGTCAATGATCTCAAGGCAGCTGGGACCATAGTCACCAAGAAAACAATTGCTAACACAGTACGCCGTGAAGAACTGAAATCCTGCAGCGCCCGCAAGGTCCCCCTGCTCAAGAAAGCACATATACATGCCCGTCTGAAGTTTGCCAATGAACATCTGAATGATTCAGAGGAGAACTGGGTGAAAGTGTTGTGGTCAGATGAGACCAAAATCGAGCTCTTTGGCATCAACTCAACTCGCAGTGTTTGGAGGAGGAGGAATGCTGCCTATGACCCCAAGAACACCATCCCCACCGTCAAACATGGAGGTGGAAACATTATGCTTTGGGGGTGTTTTTCTGCTAAGGGGACAGGACAACTTCACCGCATCAAAGGGACGATGGACGGGGTCATGTACCGTCAAATCTTGGGTGAGAACCTCCTTCCCTCAGCCAGGGCATTGAAAATGGGTCGTGGATGGGTATTCCAGCATGACAACAACCCAAAACACACGGCCAAGGCAACAAAGGAATGGCTCAAGAAGAAGCACATTAAGGTCCTGGAGTGGCCTAGCCAGTCTCCAGGCCTTAATCCCATAGAAAATCTATGGAGGGAGCTGAAGGTTTGAGTTGCCAAACGTCAGCCTCGAAACCTTAATGACTTGGAGAAGATCTGCAAAGAGGAGTGGGACAAAATCCCTCCTGAGATGTGTGCAAACCTGGTGGCCAACTACAAATAACGTCTGACCTCTGTGATTGCCAACAAGGGTTTTGCCACCAAGTACTAAGTCATGTTTTGCAGAGGGGTCAAATACTTATTTCCCTCATTAAAAGGCAAATCAATTTATAACATTTTTGACATGCGTTTTTCTGGATTTTGTTGTTGTTATTCTGTCTCTCACTGTTCAAATAAACCTACCATTAAAATTATAGACTGATCATTTCTTTGTCAGTAGGCAAACATACAAAATCAGCAGGGGATCAAATACTTTTTTTCCCTCACTGTATATACAAAAGTATGTGGACACCCCTTCAAATCTGTGGATTCGGCTATTTCAGCCACCGCCGTTGCTGACGGGTGTATAAAATCGAGCACACAGCCATGCAATCTCCATAGACAAACATTGGCAGTAGAATGGCCTTACTGAAGAGCTCAGTGACTTTCAACGTGGCCCCGTCATTGAATGCCACCTTTCCAACAAGTCAGTTCGTCAAATTTATTCCGTTCTAGAGCTGCCCTGGTTAACTGTAAGTGCTGTTATTGTGAAGTGGAAACGTCTAGGAGCAAAAACGTCTCAGCCGCGACGTGATAGGCCACACAAGCTCACAGAATGGGACCCCCGAGTGCTGAAGCTCGTAGCGCGTAAAAATCATCTGTCCTCAGTTGCAACACCATCTACCGAGTTCCAATCTGCCTCTGAAAGCAATGTCAGCAGAATAACTGTTCGTCAGGAGCTTCTTGAAATGGGTTTCCATGGCCAAGCAGCCGCACGCAAGCCTAAGATCACCATGCGCAATGCCAAGCGTCGGCTGCAGTGGTGTAAAGCTCGCCGCTATTGGACTCTGGAGCAGTGGAAACGCGTTCTCTGGAGTGATGAATCACGCTTCACCATCTGGCAGTCCAATGGATGAATCTGGGTTTGGCCGATGCCAGGAGAACTCTACCTGCCCCAATGCATAGTGCCAACTGTAAAGTTTGGTGGAGGAGGAATAATGGTCTGGGGCTGTTGTTCATGGTTCGGGTCGAAATAAAGCGATTTAGTGCTTTTGGAGGTTGGTTCGATTATTAAAAAAAAGAAAAATGTTTTCGATATTTTTTTGGGACATTAATAGCATTATGTGGGTTCAATGCTGTAACAACACAGTATAAAGCAATTAATAAAAAGTCCCATGATGGTAATGACTGCTTATTACTGCTTATCACTTATTATCCATAATTTGGTCACATTACTTTGCTTTAATAAAATATTTCAGTTGTTGTGTATATTACATTTGTTTTATTTGATGACTTATTTCATTCCAAGTCATCATCTCATCTCTATAGAGCTTCTGCCTATGCTGCCTGACAAAATCACTGTTTTAGTAGTTCAAAGTAAATAAAGCATTATTTTATGACTGCTGAACACCAACTATCAATCACTTAGATCATGTATTTTCAGGTGGTGAATACCTCACGAAGCAAATGCTTTCTATCCCTCTCAATCGCGCATTCTGTATTCTCTGTCTCTGTGTCTGCTCCACACAGACTGGACAAGTAGACGGGCGCACAATAGATTATGGTCATTGTAGTTCATTACCACATTTCCTACACTAAACTATGTAGAATATTGGCCTGTTGGAATCTACAACTCCCTACTACATCTCAGCGTTTGGGCTTGATCTGATTTATCTCTAGATAAACTGTGCCTCGAGCGCACAGAAAAACCCCCAGAATGAAATGGAATTCAAATAATTGAACCGACGTCGGTCAGTTAGTTGTTTAAAAACCGAAAAATAACAGAAATGTCAGTTAGTCGCTCGGCACTACTACAGAAAAAAATTCGGAACAATCTGATATCAATGGTTTTTGTATGGCATACATTTTTAAGGTGAATAATCTCAGCATCATTCTGTTACCATGGAATTGCCCCACTACAGTTCCAACCCTTTTGCATTAATCAGTAGACTCTACAGTTACACCATTACCCCTACTTTGGACTGCATGAAGGACAGTCTTATCAGTCTTATCCTGTCTTTGTGTCTCTATCCACATTCTGCTCCACAACTAGCTCCAGGGGCACAGCACTGCAGCTCTCTCTCTGGCTGTGCTCCTTCGAAAATATGTGCAAAGCAGAAGATGTGTCCCATGTAGCTCAGTTGGTAGAGCATGGCGCTTGCAATGCCAGGGTTGTGGGTTCGATTCCCACGGGGACCAGTATGAAAATGTATGCACTCACTGTCTGCTAAATGACTAAAATGTGAAAATGTAAGATCCATTTCCGTCACCACAGATGGACTTATTCTATTGTGTTCTATTCATCCTCCCAGGGTGTACCTGCAGCAGACCCTGAACGACACCGTTGGCAGGAAGATTGTGGTGGACTTCCTGGGTTTCAACTGGAACTGGATCAACAAGCAGCAGAGCAAGAGGAACTGGGGCCAGCTCACCTCCAACCTGCTGCTCATAGGCATGGAGGGTAAGGAAGGGACGCAGGTTGACGTTTATTGGGATAAATCTTGCCCTGGAGGCAGAGCTGAGTGATTTCCGCTAAATGGGCCAGCCACAAAGTCAAAATTGACTATAGCGTAAAGAAATCATGAAAACTAAAATGAGCTTTTTCGTCTTCATTTAAGGTTAGGGTTGGTTATAAGGTTAACATTGTGGTTAGGGTTATGTTTCAAATCAGATTTTATAACTTTGTGGCTGTGCCAGCTAGTGACCGCCCTGTAGAGCTGCCTCCAGTACATGAGTCATCCCAATAAATGCCAACCTGTGGAAGGGACTGAGGAAGGGCTTCTAGGGTACGGGACTAAGGGGGTTTTAGGGACCCTAGTTGGCTGCGGCCTATAGATATAAGAGGTAGCTGGATCACCAAGCAGCAGAGTAAGAGAAACTGGGGCCACCTCACCTCCAGCCTACTGCTCATAGGCATGGAGGGTAAGAGATCTATAGCAGGGATATAGCAATGCATACAGGCATTGCGGGTAACAACCTATACGTAAAGAGGGTGAGGGACTAAGGGGTTTATAGGAATGGAGGGTAAGGAAGGGACCCTGGGGCTTCTAGGCATCGGGACCATGCCCACAAAAAGCCCATTCCCCCTCAGGAGACTGAAAAGACTTGGCATGGGTCCTCAGATCCTCAAAGAGTTCTACAGCTGCACCATCGAGAGCATCCTGACTGGTTGCATCACCGCCTGGTATGGCAACTGCTCGGCCTCCGACCGCAAGGCACTACAGAGGGTAGTGCGTACGGCCCAGTACATCACTGGGGCCAAGCTTCCTGCCATCCAGGACCTCTATACCAGGCGGTGTCAGAGGAAGGCCCTATAAATTATCAAAGACTCCAGCCACCCTAGTCATAGACTGTTCTCTCTGCTACCGCACGGTAAGCGGTACCGGAGCGCCAAGTCTAGGTCCAAAAGGCTCCTTAACAGCTTCGTCCCCCAAGCCATAAGACTCCTGAACAGCTAATCATGGTTACCCGGACTATTTACATTGCCCCCACCCCAACCCCCTCTTTTACGCTGCTGCTACTCTGTTTATTATTTATGCATAGTCACTTTAACTCTACCCACATGTACATATTACCTCAATTACCTCGACTAACTGGTGCCCCCGCACATTGACTCTGTACCGGTACCCCCTGTATATAACTTCCTTACTGTTATTTTATTTTACTGCTGCTCTTTAATGATTTGCTTTTTTAAATTGTTTTATTAAAAACTGCATTGTTGGTTAAGGGCTTGTAAGTAAGCATTTCACTGTAATGTCTACACATGTTGTATTTGGCGCATGTGGCAAATAAAATTTGATTTGGTTAGCAGGTGATTTCCCTAGTCATGTCAGACAAGGAATTTATATACAGTATATCTACCATGTGGGTGCCACATATTGCTGATGGAAAGAGTGAACTACTGTCTCAATATGCAGTAAAAGGCCTTGTGGAAAGGACATTGTGAAAGAAATCCACTCACCTTAAATTAGCTTAAGAGCGTTGCACTTCCATAGACGGACAGGTAATCTGGTGATCTGCTCAATGTTTGTAGGCAATGTGACGCCAGCCCATTACGACGAGCAGCAGAACTTCTTTGCACAAATTAAAGGTTACAAAAGGTGTATCCTTTTCCCTCCGGACCAGTTTGAGTGTCTCTACCCCTTCCCTGTTCACCACCCCTGTGACAGACAGAGCCAGGTAACCCCTACTTTTTAATTAAATGTATATGACAATTTAAAAACACAATCAACCTCACATGTGGACACAATGCATTAAAAAAATTATCATTATCGAGGATATCACAAAAAAGTAGAGAACATATTTCCTTTGTGGTCCCAATTGAAACCGGTAAGGCGGTTTGTGGAATATGTCAAACACAACACTGTGTTTTTTTTTGTTATATGCGTGGATTTTCTGTTTCTCAACTGTTTCTGTTTGTTTTTTATTAATCCTACTAAGAGCAAGTTTGCTTTTGCCATTTGTAGGTTGACTTTGAGAACCCTGACTATGAGAGGTTTCCCAACTTCAAGAATGTAGTGGGCTATGAGACTGTGGTGGGCCCCGGAGATGTTCTTTTCATCCCCATGTACTGGTAAGAGCTGTTTAAAACCCCCTAGAGTCGATGTCCGCGCCCCCCACGGAAATCTAATTGGCATAATAAAAAATTCCCCATCAAAATCCATCTGTTTGAGCTAGAGATGTTTTTTTGCATGGGCTGCGTCTCAATCCACCGCATCCGCCAATGTCGGCCTTCCGCATCTGCGGTGGAAGGTGGCCGAGCAACAGCTGTGTTTGTCAGACCAAGAGACATCCTGAAAATCAGTCTTCTCACGAAAACGTCATTAGCGTCCAAATGGTTTGGCCTAAAAACTAATATTACCGCTCTATGGAAAGATGACTTTCATGAACCCGATGGTGTTTTGCTCTATGACCCCCACAAGAATCACAGAACTCATCTGAAGTTGGTACCGCCAATCTGCCAACTTCTGTCTGTAGCTTCCGAACTGTTTGGGCTACACACTAATGTGACCCCTCTATGGACGCCCACAAGCCTCACAAGACTCTTCTGAAGGTAGCCCGGTACCAGTAAAAAAGTTATGGAAGTTTATGGAAGTATACAAAACATTAAGGACACCTGCTCTTTCCATTACATAGACTGACCAGGTGAATCCAGGTGAAAGCTATGATCCCCTTATTGATGTCACTTTTTAAATCCACTTCAGTCAGTGTAGATGAAGAGGAGTAGACAGGTTAAAGAAGGATTTTTAAGCCTTGAGACAATTGAGACATGGATTGTGTATGTGTGCCATTCAGAGGGTGAATGGGCAAGACAAAAGATTTTAAGTGCCTTTGAACGGGTTATAGTAGTAGGTGCCAGGTGCATCGGTTTGTCAAGAACTGCAATGCTGCTGGATTTTTCATGCTCAACAGTTTCCCGTGTGTATCAAGATTGTTCCACAACCTACAGGACATCCATCCAACTTGACACAATTTTGGGAAGCATTAGAGTCAACATGGGCCAGCATCCCTGTGGAACGCTTTAGCACCATTCCCTGACGAATTGTTCTGAGGGCAAAAGGGGTGGGTGCAACTAGGGCTGTGGCGGTCACGAAATTTCGTCAGCCGGTGATTATCAAGCAAATAGTGCCCATGGCCATTGTGCCCTTCTCCCTGAGTGCTGTGCGCTCCATCACGTGATCGGGTCTTTCTCACAGGCTACAAGTCAAGACAGACACATCGGGGACGCAACTGTGCGCATCCTTATCCAGTTCCGAGGTGCATATTGAAGATATTGGAAGAACTGTCCACATTTACTTTTAGTCAGCCAACAAGATGAGTAGGCCTAACAACCAGCAAAAGCAATAGCCTATGTCAATCTACTATCCCCCATAGTACAAAGGTCGACCTATTCTATTCTCTGCGAGAAATAAATATTCCAAACATAGTCTGGGCCTGTTGTGGGATGCCATAGATCCCAAATTAATACAACCACTAGCATCAAAAAAACTTTTTTACGCAATGTGGCTGATGCAACAGATCAGAACGTTTAGCTTAAAATGTTGATAAACTATTAGGCTATTTCTTCACATTATAAGCGCAGCAATGCGCACATGGTAGTAGGCTATAAGCGCAACTGTTCCATTAGCGGAAAACACCATTATCAAAAGTGACCGCAAATGCAATTATGCATGTAATGCTTTTATTATAAAGGTGCATTTTTATGGTGAAAATTATGTTCCCCAAACTTGAAACACGCGCTGCTTATGTATGCCAGTTAGGCTCTACACCCCTTGTAAAGCGGATTAATGTGCTTAATTTTAAGAAGTTTGGCACTTTAGTTGTGATACAAACCTTATTAAAACATATTGGCCTATGAGGTGTGCGACTATGATTCGAAAAAGTCGCAAAAAAAGGGCATTGTTTCTTATGCTGGGCATCATTCACAAGTGATAATACCCTGCTCAAAAAAATAAAGGGAACACTAAAATAACACATCCTAGATCTGAATGAATGAAATAATCTTATTAAATACTTTTTTTCTTTACATAGTTGAATGTGCTGACAACAAAATCACACAAAAATTATCAATGGAAATCAAATGTATCAACCCATGGAGGTCTGGATTTGGAGTAACCCTCAAAATTTAAGTGGAAAACCACACTACAGGCTGATCCAACTTTGATGTAATGTCCTTAAAACAAGTCAAAATGAGGCTCAGTAGTGTGTGTGGCCTCCACGTGCCTGTATAACCTCCCTACAACGCCTGGGCATGCTCCTGATGAGGTGGCGGATGTTCTCCTGAGGGATCTCCTCCCAGACCTGGACTAAAGCATCCGCCAACTCCTGGACAGTCTGTGGTGCAACGTGGCATTGGTGGATGGAGCGAGACATGATGTCCCAGATGTGGGGCCAGTATAAAAAATAAAAAATGTAATCACTAACTGTAAGTCGCTCTGGATAAGAGCGTCTGCTAAATTACTGTAAATGTAAATGTAATGTGCTCAATTGGATTCAGGTCTGGGGAACGGGCGGGCCAGTCCATAGCATCAATGCCTTCCTCTTGCAGGAACTGCTGACACACTCCAGCCACATGAGGTCTAGCATTGTCTTGCATTAGGAGGAACCCAGGGCCAACCGCACCAGCATATGGTCTCACAAGGGGTCTGAGGATCTCATCTCGGTACCTAATGGCAGTCAGGCTACCTCTGGCGAGCACATGGAGGGCTGTGCGGCCCCCCAAAGAAATGCCACCCCACACCATGACTGATCCACCGCCAAACCGGTCATGCTGGAGGATGTTGCAGGCAGCAGAACGTTCTCCACGGCGTCTCCAGACTCTGTCACGTCTGTCACGTGCTCAGTGTGAACCTGCTTTCATCTGTGAAGAGCACAGGGCGCCAGTGGCAAATTTGCCAATCTTGGTGTTCTATGGCAAATGCCAAATGTCCTGCACGGTGTTGGGCTATAAGCACAACCCCCACCTGTGGACGTCGGGCCCTCATACCACCCTCATGGAGTCTGTTTCTGACCGTTTGAGCAGACACATGCACATTTGTGGCCTGCTGGAGGTCATTTTGCAGGGCTCTGGCAGTGCTCCTCCTGCTCCTCCTTGCACAAAGGCGGAGGTAGCAGTCCTGCTGCTGGGTTGTTGCCCTCCTACGGCCTCCTCCACGTCTCCTGATGTACTGGCCTGTCTCCTGGTAGCGCCTCCATGCTCTGGACACTACGCTGACAGACACAGCAAACCTTCTTGCCACAGCTCGCATTGGTGTGCCATCCTGGATGAGCTGCACTACCTGAGCCACTTGTGTGGTGGGTTGTAGACTCCGTCTCATGCTACCACTAGAGTGAAAGCACCGCCAGCATTCAAAAGTGACCAAAACATCAGCCAGGAAACATAGGAACTGAGAAGTGGTCTGTGGTCACCACCTGCAAAACCAGTCCTTTATTGGGGGTGTCTTGCTAATTGCCTATAATTTCCACCTGTTGTCTATTCCATTTGCACAACAGCATGTGAAATTTATTGTCAATCAGTGTTGCTTCCTAAGTGGACAGTTTGATTTCACAGAAGTGTGATTGACTTGGAGTTACATTGTGTTGTTTAAGTGTTCCCTTTATTTTTTTGAGCAGTGTATATAATTCACAAGTGATAGGCTAATATTGTTACCCATCAGACTATTCTTGACTTAAACTTAAATAATATATGTGTGAAATTTGTTTTGATTTAGAATGGACCATTATCATGCACCTGTATCGAAACAGGGGTAGCGGAGAAAATACATATCTATGCACTTAAATAGCGAATGGAGGATGCTTTTCCCGTGGTTATTTTTTTTGTGTCAGCCAGGTAGGCTATACTCCTGTTGTAAATATAAGCAATGTGCTTAATATTAGGAATGTTGAGAAATAAATATAGTAGGCCTAGCCTATAGAAAGCTGATCATCCTCTTTTCAGTGGAGGCCATCACTCTGTTTTCTCGCACAATTGCATAGCCTATTGAAATGTTGCGCAACATGTGCTCATGGGCTCTCATGAAGTGTGTGATTTTAGATTTTTAAATACATTTGCATTGATGTCAGCATGATTAGAGGGACAATAGAGTGCTGAGTACCAGGCAGTTAGCATGTTTGGTAGGCTACTAATGACCATCAGCAGCATCAGAGCTTGGAGAAGGTAGTTTTAGTTCCCCCATAAATGTATTAAATATGATTAAAAAAACTGAACAAAAAACATTGCTGATCTTTCTTATCTTTCAAATATAGGACAGACACTTTAAAACAAACGTCCTTTTAATGTATTTTTTGACTATGTTTTTCCATGTATGAATATGTTATTCAATGTGTTTCTATGGGCTAGTAGCCGTTTTGGCAAATTAAATGTTTCATCAAATAATTGTTTTATATTTATTTTGATACCTGAAGGGGTCCTAAAATTCTAAATCAAATAGCTAAATGATCCTTGGTATGACCATCTTAAAACAATTCCATATGTTAGCCTAGTAGAACCCCCCCCCATCTCACAATGTGAGGGTATGTACAGTGTGTCTGTAACTAAGCCATGTATTAGTAAGAGTTGTTCTGTAGCGTGTCTGATGCTGTTTTCTCACTAAGAATGCTGTCGTTGAAATACCAATACTGTGGCATTGTGGAACCAGACTTGTTAGTTTGACCTGTTGGTGACATTGTAAATGATCTGCTAATCCTGCTCTGTTTTCGTTTCATGGCTGATTCAGGTGGCACCACATTGAGTCCCTGCTGAGTGGTGGAGTGACCATCACTCTCAACTTCTGGTACAAGGTACACTACATGACCAAAAGTATGTGGACACCTCCTCGCCGAACATCTCATTCCAAAATCATGGGCATTAATATGGAGTTGGTCCCCCCTTTGCTGCTATAACAGCCTCCACTCTTCTGGGAAGGCTTTCCACTAAATGTTGAAACATTGCTGCGGGGACTTGCTTCCATTCAGCCACAATTAGGCCTGGCTCGCAGTCGGCGTTCCAATTCATCCCAAAGGTGTTCGATGGGGTTGAGGTCAGGGCTCTGTGCAGGCCAGACAAGTTCTTACATACAGATCTCGACAAACCATTTCTGTATGGACCTCGCTTTGTGCACAGGGGCATTGTCATGCTGAAACAGGAAAGGGCCATCCCCAAACTGTTGCCACAAAGTTGGAAGCACAGAATCGTCTAGAATGTCATTGTATGCTGTAGCGTTACGATTTCCATTCACTGGAACTAAGGGGCTAAGACCGAATCATGAAAAACAGCCCCATACCATTATTACTCCTCCACCAAACTTGACAGTTGGCACTATGCATTGGGGCAGGTAGCGTTCTCCTGGCATCCGCCAAACCCAGATTAGTCCGTTGGACTGCCAGATGATGAAGCGTGATTTATCACTCCAGAGAACGCGTTTCCACTGCTCCAGAGTCCAATGGTGGAAAGCTTTACACCACTCCAGCCGATGCTTGGCATTGCACATGGTGATCTTAGGCTTGTGTGCGGCTGCTTGGCGATGGAAACCCCATTTCATGAAGCTCCCGACGAACAGTTATTGTGCTGATGTTGCTTCCAGAGGCAGTTTGGAACTTGTGGTAGAAATGTTTAACTCAAAAATGTCTCTCAAAAAACCGGGCCTTGTGAATTCAGAATATACTTTATTAAAGCGTAACAAAGCCAAGCTGGTCCATGGAACAACTGCTTGCCCTGACCCGGAGCTCTCCTTTTATACAGACACAAATGCATAGTCATGCTTGTACAACCTACACAGTTACTCCATTATATGTACATGATTAACATCCTTCGGTGTCACATGTTGTTTACTCACGAGGGCTACGTGCGCTTCTCTAAATGGGGCCTCTGTCACTTATCTCATTATATTGGTGGCGTGACTCAAAAAAGTATATACATACGTACGTTAAAGAACAATCACACTCTGTATTGACTATATTCACTATCCAGGCATGCATCTGGAGTACAAAGTATCAATCATGTTCATTCTGTTTTACCCTTATCATTTCATAACACATTATAAAACATATCAATTAATACTTAAACATGGTTTACACATGTCATGTCCATAACATACATTTAAGCCATTCCCAACAGCCATCCTCCAAGGACCCTGAGCCACTATGGTTTTTCCTTGTGACTATGTGCATGTGGCTATGTGTGTCAGGTCATAAGCACAAACAAGTGATAACACTAGTTCCATTGTTACTCCAATCTCCACACAGCCACAACGAGAAGTTTTATCTCCGTCACATGTCATTGACATACCCAGACCAGCTGCGGGGAGTTAGAGGGAACCATTCTTTATCAGAAGCACAGCATTTGCACTAAAGAAATGTCTCTGCTCTGTTTTAACCCTTTAATTGGTTCTTATCCATAAACATTTAAGGCATATAGGCGTTTCATTCTACAACATATGTACTAGAAAATCATTCATAAACTTGGTAGTGAGTGTTGCAACTGAGGACAGACGATGTTTACGCGCTTCAGCACTCGGCAGTCCCATTCTGTGAGCTTGTGTGGCCTATCACTTCCCGGCTGAGCCGTTTTTGATCCTAGACGTTTCCACTTCACAATAACAGGACTTACAGTTGACCGGGGCAGCTCTAGCAGGGCAGACATTTGATGAACTGACTTGTTGGAAAGGTGGTATCCTATGACGGTGCCACGTTGAAAGTCACTGAGCTCTTCAGTAAGGCCATTCTACTGCCAGTGTTTGTCTATGGAGATTGCATGGCGGTGCACCTGTCAGCAACGGGTGTGGCTGTCCACATACTTTTGAATATATAGTGTATGTACTCATTGAAATATGTCACCATGTCTCGTATCACTGACAGTATCACCTTTGCTACATTCATGTCAACTAATGTTGTAGCGCCCTGAAGAAGGCAGCATTAGAGTCAAAATATTGGTGAAATTAGTAACTTTTCATTGAAGGATATATTTCTCACTCAGCAGGATGTGCTGTCTTCACTAGTAATTTTAAATAAACTTGGATCACCATGATACATCCTTACTCATAGAAATAGAATTTGAGCACATGTTATATCTCTGTCCTTACTATATGATCTGTCATTCCCCCAGGGTGCGCCAACGCCCAAGAGGATAGAAAACCCATTGAGCGCCCATCAGAAGGTGGCCATCATGAGAAACATAGAGAAGATGCTGGGGGAGGCACTGGGAGACCCACACGAGGTACTGGAACTGGACAGACAGGTGGAATATTATGATAGTATTTATGGAAGATCTAGCCTGGTATCTGTATGTGCTGCTTAAGCCAACACCTCTGACTATTGTTGTAATATCTGGCATGACAGCCATAGCTAGAAGAGGTGGCTAAACCTATGCACAAACATATCTGGACCAGGCTACCGAAGATCCCATCGACACAATGATTCCCGAACTAGAACATGACTACATCAGAGTCATTCTGAGTCACACCATTTCTAGAACATCAAATGAGATTTCACAGCTCTGAGGTCCCAATGAGATTCCATTGAGATAAAGATTCTCGCTGGTTCCAGAACTAGAACATGACATCAAATGAATGACATTCCATCTGGCTGCTCTGTATTTAGTTGGTCCTGTAGGAATAGTGCAGAAAGCATGCCATGCCTGGAATCCTTGCGGCTCCAGAACGCTGACCCTGACAGCAACTCAATTACTGGGAATATTTATGGTCTACCTGATTCGGCACAGAGTGAATGGAGGAAGGGGGGGATGTGGTACAGGACAAACACAGGAGGACAGGACACTCAATGAAACAACGCTATAGCTACAGTATGTTACCTAATAGTAGGCCCTTATGTTTCCAACAACTGCCTTTGTTTTAATGCAACTATGTTTTAATGCGTCTATGTGTTTTCTGTTCTGTAGGTTGGTCCTTTACTGAATATGATGATCCAGGGCCGATATGACCAGGGATTCAGCTAGAGGTACTGCCTCAGAACTGTTGCCAAACTGCTGCTTGTGTGTGTGCGTGCGTGTGCGTTCAGTACACACGCCTGATTGTGTGTATGTAGGCGAGGATGTGTGTGCAGACACATGTGTGCGCATTTGGACTGTCAAGCTAGCAATGCATGGCAACACTGGGTCACCTTGAGAGACTTGGCCAATCAGCCACTTTGGCTCTGCTTTGATTGTCTGGGAACCATAGTCATCGCAACTTCAGCCACCAGTGGGAAGATAATAGTGGACAGACAGACCAGTCATGGACACCCACATGCAGTATACTGTCAGAGAGTGATACTCAGTTGATGAACTGTGTAAACTACACAATGTAGTGTTGTGGTATTTGTGTGGGAGTCGAGCGATAGGCAGCCGCTGTAGAAAAAAACCCTCAAGGTGAAAGTTGCCCCTAATTAACCACTGAAGCAGGGTAAGATATTATACATTTTATTATCGCACCCAATAGGATTTGGGTTGGGATAATCTGATCCTAGATCTGTAGTTGGGGGCAATTTCTACCTTGAGCACTTGAACCACTAATTAGTGTGTGTTGGGCGATTTGTTACATTTGAGTCATAACCAACCAGAAACTCCCATCTTCTATTCAACCCTGCCCCCTGCCATTACAGTTTGTAACCATAGCAACACAAATGTAGCTTGATTATTAAATAAAAATAACCTCAGATATAATATACACTCACGGGACAGTTTATTAGGTACACCCATCTAGTACCGGGTCAGACCCCCTTTGCTTCCAGAACAATCTGAATTATTTGGGGCATTCTACAAGGTGTCGGAAACGTTCCACAGGGATGTTGGTCCATGCTGACGAACTTCTAAATGAATTTGCTGCACATGCACCCTGAAAGGGATGACAGTCATATTTGTGTTATTCTGTTGATTTAATCGTTGACTGTCAGTCAGTAAGCTGATTTTGTCTGTATGGTATTATGGTTTTTGGTAGCTATCAGCAAAAACTAATTGTAGAGTGTTTTAAAAACTAACACAGAAGGAGTGCTTGATTGTGGGATTGCCTGCACTTGATTTATTTTATTGAAATGATTGCATTTTTGTACATTCAGGCATAACTGATTTTCTGTCTTTTTTTCTTTTCTTTTTTTTTTTTACAATATATGTTACATTTAAGACACGATTGAGGATGGGCTAAAAAGTATTTTAACTTATTTCAATTGCAACTGAAAAGTAAAATAAGAATATAACAAACGTGTGTGCATGCAACCATACTCAGTATGTGACAGTATAGTTGAATGATGGTTGTTATTGTGCCATTGTCAAGTGTTTCTAGTGAACACTTCACTTCAACAGGTGCAGTTTAGAGCACAGGACTGATTTTAAAGAACATATTGCATGCATCCCAAATCACACCCTTTTCCCTGTGGGTCATGGTCAAAAGAAGTGCACTTTAAAGGGAATAGTGTGCCATTTGGGACTTAGTCCTAGTGCTGTGTGTCAAACCAAGTGTGTCCTTCAGGGTTGGGGCTATTTCCATTTCAATTCTGTCAATTCAGGAAGTAAACTATTCTAATTCCAATTTTCATAAATGATTGTCTATGAGGAAAATGTAGAGTTGGAATTTGAACCATGGTGTCATAGAACCATTAAGGTGGTTTCAAGTTAATGGGAGTAAATAAGACTGGCAATCAAAAGACTGGCAATTAACATAAACACCTTTAGCATCTCCAGGCCTCTCCTTTGGCACATCTACATTTAAAAAAGTATAATAAATCATTTTAATATACACAATATAGCCATTGTTTATTTTAGTCAGGTCTAAAGAAACATTATGGTATGAAGAAAATGTTTTTCCGAAGAACAGAATATGAGTTGGCCTAATGTATGTGATCTGGCTATGCGCCATGCCATAGGCTGTAGGATTGTTCATTTAGCAGACAAAATATGCTTATAAGTGCCGTGCCATTTTATAGTAAGAAGAATATAATTGATCTTAGCTGAATAAAATAGAAAGGATATATTTCTGATTTCAGAAAGAAATGCGCATAGCTATGTTCAGCGTAAAAGGGATCATTTGAAACAGCTCCTACAGTTGAAGTTGGAAGTTTACATACACCTTAGCCAAATACATTTAAACTCAGTTTTTCACAATTCCTGACATTTAATCCTAGAAAAACTTCCCTGTCTTAGGTCAGTTAGGATCAACACTTTATTTTAAGAATGTGAAATGTCAGAATAATAGTAGAGAGAATGATTTATATCAGCTTTTATTTCTTTCATCACATTCCCAGTGGGTCAGAAGTTTACATACACTCAATTAGTATTTGGTAGCATTGCCTTTAAATTGTTTAACTTCGGGTCAAACGTTTCGGGTAGCCTTCCACAAGCTTTCCACAATAAGTTGGGTGAATTTTGGCCCATTCCTCCTGACAGAGCTGGTGTAACTGAGTCAGGTTTGTAGGCCTCCTTGCTCGCACACTCGTTTTTAGTTCTGTCCACACATTTTCTATAGGATTGATGTCAGGGCTTTGTGATGGCCACTCCAATACCTTGACTTTGTTGTCCTGAAGCCATTTTGCCACAACTTTGGAAGTATGCTTGGGGTCATTGTCCATTTGGAAGACCCATTTGCGACCAAGCTTTAACTTCCTGACTGATGTCTTGAGATGTTTCCTTCCTCATGATGCCATCTATTTTGTGAAGTGCACCAGTCTCTTCTGCAGCAAAGCACCCCCACAGCATGATGCTGCCACCCCTGTGCTTCATGGTTGGGATGGTGTTATTCAGTTTGCTAGCACCCCGTTTTTCCTCCAAACATAACGATGGTCATTATGGCCAAACAGTTCTATTTTTGTTTCATCAGACCAGAGGGCATTTCTCCAAAAAGTATGATCTTTGTCCCCATGTGCAGCTGCAAACCATAGTCTGGCTTTTTTATGGCGGTTTTGGAGCAGTGGCTTCTTCCTTGCTGAGCGGCCTTTCAGGTTATGTCGATATAGGACTTGTTTTACTGTGAATATAGATACTTTTGTACCTTTCCTCCAACATCTTCACAAGGTCCTTTGCTGTTGTTCTGGGATTGATTTGCACTTTTCGCACCAAAGTACATTCATCTGTAGGAGACAGAACACATCTCCTTCCTGAGCGGTATGACGGCTGCGTGGTCCCATGGTGTTTATACTTGCGTACTATTGTTTGTACAGATGAACGTGGTACCTTCAGGCATTTGGAAATTGCTCCCAAGGATGAACCAGACTTGTGGAGGTCTACAATTTTTTTCTGAGGTCTTGGCTGATTTCTTTTGTTTTTCCCATGATGTCAAGCAAAGAGGCACTGAGTTTGAAGGTAGGCCTTGAAATACATCCACAGGTACACCTCCAATTGACTCAAATGATGTCAGTTAGCCTATCAGAAGCTTCTAAAGCCATGACATCATTTTCTGGAATTTTCCAAGCTGTTTAAAGGCACAGTCAACTTAGTGTATGTAAACTTCTGACCCACTGGAATTGTGATACAGTGAATTGTAAGTGAAATAATCTGTCTGTAAACAATTGTTGGAAAAATTATTTCTGTCATGCACAAAGTAGATGTCCTAACTGACTTACCAAAACTATAGTTTGTTAACAAGAAATGTGTGGAGTGGTTGAAAAACGAGTTTTAATGATTCCAACCTAAGTGTATTTAAACTTCCGACTTCAACTGTATATGCTAGATTTAGAGTTATTTGGTAACTTTAGTTGTGAATGATACAAATCTTAGTATGTCTTACAAATCAAAACATATATGGACTGCATGATGCTACTAGAGGCTATTGATGATTTGAGAAAGTCGCAAAAAAAGCTTGCACTCTGTTCCTTGCCTCAGGCTGCACAGCTGTTCTCTCATCAAGTGATCATATTTTCACCCATCAGATTATTCTCAATTTAATCTAGTTTTTACTAATATGTTAAATTAGTTTCTATTTAGAATGGCCCATTATCAAATGGGCAGGGGGAAAAAAAGACATGTCATCTGTATGTACTCGAATAGCGGATGGAGGCCGCGCGCGTTCTCGCCTGACCGTTTTTCAATGATGCCTGGAAGGCTACTTCGGTTTTATAGTGGAGCTGTGCTTAATGTAGCAGCTGAGAAATAAATATAGGAACACTTATTTCACGCCATGCATCAATCGCTGTTTGGGGAGAATTCTCTTGCTGCGCGACAGGTGATATTCTGCCCAAACTCTTTATGCCATGGGCTCGCCAACCCAGTTCCTGCAGCTACCCAGTGCTTAATTTTGGAAACCTAGTGTAATCTGTTCGGGAACATCGATAGTAACATGTTTTCGCAACTAAACATATTTAACTAAACTGTTGACAGCCCCTCTGCACGCTCTAGAAAGGAATAAAGGAGAGAGTTGAGGAGATGGAAATGCATTGTGGTGAGATATTCTGTATAGCTAAAGGTAATGTGCCTCCCAATTAATTATGAAAATACAGTGAGGGAAAAAAGTATTTGATCCCCTGCTGATTTTGTACGTTTGCCCACTGAAAAAGAAATGATCAGTCTATAATTTTAATGGTAGGTTTATTTGAACAGTGAGAGACAGAATAACAACAAAGAAATCCAGAAAAATCGCATGTCAAAAATGTTATAAATTGATTTGCATTTTAATGAGGGAAATAAGTATTTGACCCCCTCTCAATCAGAAAGATTTCTGGCTCCCAGGTGTCTTTTATACAGGTAACAAACTGAGATTAGGAGAACACTCTTAAAGGGAGTGCTCCTAATCTCAGTTTGTTACCTGTATAAAAGACACCTGTCCACAGAAGCAATCAATCAATCAGATTCCACATTTTTATTCAGGGGGGTTTTCGGGCTTGGGCTCATAAGCCTATGCGTATGCATAAGCTCTAATATGCATATGGATGTTTTGAATTAATAATCAACATAGAAAGCGCTGTCCATTTCGTTGTTAGGCTTTGAAACAACATCCACAGCGATCATGTTTTACGCTGTTTCAACCTGCTGTTGAACTTCTTTCTTCAAATTGATCATCACAGTGAGGTCAGTTTTAAAAGCAGGATACTGTTTCGATAACTGTTTGATGTGATTTTCGATTGCATTTGCTAGAGTGGTTCGAGGGACAATCGAGCCCTGAGTACCAGGTAATTAGGATCTGATGGTCATTAGCAAGTTGAGTACTACCAAAGCATGTCCAGAGTACATAAGAGGAGATTAACGTGACTCAACGGTTTCGTGGAATGTTACTGCGGTCATGAATCCTGGTGTGGCGGTAATACGTCACTGCAACAGCCCTATATCATGGAGGCCCTTCTGTGACATTGGTAATGTGATGATTTTAAGCTGCATCATATTACTTTGTTATTAACAGTAATATACTAATAGCCTGGTTAAACCAGACTGACTATGGCTGCGCTCATTGGTGAACGCAGCATTCAGTCTGATTTAACTAGGCTAATATACTACTGCTGCATGTTAAAATCCTACACATTCAGTGACTGACTACAAATGTTCTAGGGGCGTTTCTGTGTTCTAGCCATGTGTATTAAAAGTATTGTTATCTCCCCAACAGTCCATATTGTACTTCTCTGGCAATCTAAAAACAAATATGGAATGCATCAAGCAGAACATTCATATCTTTTTGTTTATATTTAGGCTAATATACTAAGAATGTTCATGTCAAGGGAGTGTATGCTTGATTGTTTATAGTAACAATTTTGTTCATGAAAAATACTAGTTCAATAAAATGGACTAAGTTATTTTACAGTTAAGTCTGAGAGGTTAAATTGCTCTCTGTGTGTATTTGTTTCTCCTATATGTACTTTGTGTGCCTAGCTCAGTTATGGCATGGCTCAAGAAAGGATCTTTTAATTTTTTGTCATTTCTTTAAAAAATAAATTACTAAACATCGTTTTCTGGGTTCCTGCACTTGTATGATTTGAGTTTGTCTGCTGTATTGTGTACTGATTTCTTAATGACTGCTTAACGAGGAGTTCTATTGTTGTCCAAGTAGCTTTGAATTTTTTTTCAAATTTATTGATCAAGCCGTTGTATCAGTCATCACAGCGGTTTGGTGTCAAATTCATGTCTTTCATTGCAGAGATTCATATTGAGGAAATGGACCAAAGGATACAGCTAAAGCACTGGGGAAATGTTATATAGTAATACAATAGTAATATCACAGTATTGTAAACCAGCAGTAATGTAAAGTAGTGAAAGGATGAACAAAACACAGGCTTTAATGTAGAGATTAGGTTTGAGGGATGACAGGTGAAATCGACTCTGTCTGATGATTATTTGAGTCTGACTATTTCCTTCAATCACTTCAAACTTGGTTGATGTCTTCTGTATCCATAGGAAAGCACAATATCACCATCTGCTGGTCTGTATCTGGCCTACAGTCAGTGTGTTTGTCTTTTTATGTCAGACTGGATTCGAACCTGGGTCTTTGCGTGCCACAAGACTGTGTTAGGCATTAGCTTGGGGAACTAATGCAAGTCTTCAATAAATTCACATGTTGATAATGTGCCATTTCCAGCTCCAGGTAGATTAAGATTAGGTTTTTTGGATTGTGGACTGCTCCAAGTCACATCAGATACCCAGGAGTTGCACGGCTCCAATTCCACATCTGCCCTGTCAGCCCAGCTTGTAAATCCTTAATTAGACTGCCTGAAGGGAGATAAAGACATAAACATATTACAAGTATACAGTACACATACAAATACTCTCCGTTCGAAAATAGAGAATATAAGAGATTACTATTCACACTTCAGTGGGGTTCTCAGATGCCAAATTGAATGTTTCCATCCCCCGAATTCCTACGATAGCGAGGTTGTTTAACTATAAGTAAGGCTTAAAGGAGGTAGGCTTGGATTTGGTTGTCCAGGAACTCCAGAGAGGGTTAGACATGGATATCCTATAATTCACTATTAATTATAGCTAGGATCTCTATGATGTTAGAGTTATCATAATACCTTGTGTGTGTAGTAGAACAGGTGCAGAGGAGAACCACTAACGTCACTCTCTGGTCTCGCTCAGATGAAGACAGCACGCTGCCCTCTCGTCCTTGCTGTGCACCACCTCAGAGCAGGCGTGAGCCCCGATCCATACCGCCCGGCTCCGGCCTGTCAGTCGTTTCAGCTCGCTCGCCAAAGATATTCCTTTCCTCCGATCCTCGCGAACTGGTCTGACACAGTCCTCACGCTGAGCTGTCTGAGGTAATTAAATCCATCAGTTATGGCTAGTTACTCCAGAGAAATAACCCCAATATCGGTCATTACAAAATAGTGGGATTTGTTAGATTGAGACATTTGCAAAATGTTATTTTGGTTGGGCTGGTCTTGCCATTGTAAACACAGCAAACATTTTTACCGAAACATATTTACAGTTACTGACAAAATCAATAGATGTGGCCCATGCAGGAAATCTAATAACACCTGAAGTATCACACACACACACACACACACACAATCACTTATATCCTCATCATATACAGTGGGGGAAAAAAGTATTTAGTCAGCCACCAATTGTGCAAGTTCTCCCACTTAAAAAGACGAGAGAGGCCTGTAATTTTCATCATAGGTACAACTATGACAGACAAATCAACTATGACAGACAAATTGAGGGAAAAAAATCCAGAAAATCACATTGTAGGATTTTTAATGAATTTATTTACAAATTATGGTGGAAAATAAGTATTTGGTCACCTACAAACAAGCAAGAGTTCTGGCTCTCACAGACCTGTAACTTCTTCTTTAAGAGGCTCCTCTGTCCTCCACTCGTTACCTGTATTAATGGCACCTGTTGGAACTTGTTATCAGTATAAAAGACACCTGTCCACAACCTCAAACAGTCACACTCCAAACTCCACTATGGCCAAGACCAAAGAACTGTCAAAGGACACCAGAAACAAAATTGTAGACCTGCACCAGGCTGGGAAGACTGAATCTGCAATAGGTAAGCAGCTTGGTTTGAAGAAAACAACTGTGGGAGCAATTATTAGGAAATGGAAGACATACAAGACCACTGATAATCTCCCTCGATCTGGGGCTCCACGCAAGATCTCACCCCGTGGGGTCAAAATGATCACAAGAACGGTGAGCAAAAATCCCAGAACCACACGGGGGGACCTAGTGAGTGACCTGCAGAGAGCTGGGACCAAAGTAACAAAGCTTACCATCAGTAACACACTACGCCGCCAGGGACTCAAATCCTGCAGTGCCAGACGTGTCCCCCTGCTTAAGCCAGTACATGTCCAGGCCCGTCTGAAGTTTGCTAGAGTGCATTTGGATGATCCAGAAGAGGATTGGGAGAATGTCATATGGTCAGATGAAACCAAAATATAACTTTTTGGTAAAAACTCAACTCGTCGTGTTTGGAGGACAAAGAATGCTGAGTTGCATCCAAAGAACACCATACCTACTGTGAAGCATGGGGGTGGAAACATCATGCTTTGGGGCTGTTTTTCTGTAAAGGGACCAGGACGACTAATCTGTGTAAAGGAAAGAATGAATGGGGCCATGTATCGTGAGATTTTGAGTGAAAACCTCCTTTCATCAGCAAGGGCATTGAAGATTAAACGTGGCTGGGTCTTTCAGCATGACAATGATCCCAAACACACCGCCAGGGCAACGAAGGAGTGGCTTCGTAAGAAGCATTTCAAGGTCCTGGAGTGGCCTAGCCAGTCTCCAGATCTCAACCCCATAGAAAATCTTTGGAGGGAGTTGAAAGTCCGTGTTTCCAGCGACAGCCCCAAAACATCACTGCTCTAGAAGAGATCTGCATGGAAGAATGGGCCAAAATACCAGCAACAGTGTGTGAAAACCTTGTGAAGACTTACAGAAAACGTTTGACCTGTGTCATTGCCAACAAAGGGTATATAACAAAGTATTGAGAAACTTTTGTTATTGACCAAATACTTATTTTCCACCATAATTTGCAAATAAATTCATAAAAAATCCTACAATGTGATTTTCTTTAAATTACAGGCCTCTCTCATCTTTTTAAGTGGGAGAACTTGCACAATTGGTGGCTGACTAAATACTTTTTTTCCCCACTGTATCCTCACCTCCTTTCCCTGAGCCTGCTCCCTGAGTCTGAGAATGAACTTCCCCTGACCCCTCCACCTCCCCTGGGCCTGGAATATACACTCCTGGTCCAGGAGTGTCCTCTGGGTGGGTTTGGCAGGGAGCCTGCGCCCCAGGGGTTCCTTGACCACCTCCTCTATCAGAATGTAGTCGCTGACGTTGCCCGCTGACAGCAGGAGGCTGGACTGTCTGGCTTTCCTCAGTGTCTGCAAGTGAAATGGACATCGGGTACACAGTTAAAGGCATGATCTGTAATTTCAACAGCCTGCCCCTGCAACTTTGTTAAGCTAAGGGATGGGGTTAGGGAAATGTAACCACTCCCAAATTCATAGACTGAGCTTCATAGACTGATGCAAGGACTGACAGTCCACTTGATTCTATAATCACACTGAATATCTAAACCATATCAAGAGCGTGCCTGACTCCCATACCTGTTGGATGAGGTCATTGGCTGTGATGTGTCTGGGAGCTCTGAGGGTCATCTGTGATTGGTCAGGAGACACTCCATGTACTTCCACCAGGAATGAATCATCCTCCAGTCCACAGCTTACCTCCATCTTCTCTATAACTGTCTTCCCTTCGTTCACAGGCTAAAACAAAGGTGAAGAGTAAACTTATGGTTAAAGGTAGTGTTTTTTACAGACATCAGTAACAGTATAACTCATAACGGCAAAGAATGGCATAATTGGTGAATTCCACACAGACATTGAAAGGAACAGGGTCAGCTGCAGTTCAATGCCCCCAGAGCAGTTTTGGGGGTTGAACAGGTTGAGTAGATAAAATACAAAAATTCCCAATATTATTAGAATTCCAGACTCTGAAGCAACAAAATGGGAAAACGAGAACGGAACAGGGATTTTGAGTAGGTAAGAATACAACCAGACCTTTTCTCTCGTTTTGAGGCACACTCTGCCCAGGTAGCCTTCGTCAGGGTTCCAGCTCTGAATGACCCTGAGTATCTCCTCCTCAGGCCTGATGGTCCTCTGTAGGAGAGGCTTTCGAGCATCCCCCCTCTCACCCCTAGTCTCCCCCCTCTCCCGGGGCAATGCCACCCTCTCTTCCATCAGGAAGCAAGAAGAGAGGGAGAACCGAGTGGAGGAGGAGAGGGATGGATGGATCTAGGTGGGAGAGAGATAAAGCATTATATTGTTACAGTTGCACTGCTGAAATGAATCTCCAAGATCCAGATCATCTGTACCCCTCCCCCCCTCAAAAATGCATTCCCATAAGAGTTTCAGATAAAATGGAGTTTCCCAAATGTGTAGAATGTGGAGGTTCAGTAGGTACAGTATGTGGTGAAGTGGGAAGATGCAATGCTCACTCACATTGTGTAGGAGCTGTCTGGCAGTGGTCCTCTCACTCACACCCACCACTATGAAAGGCTCAGGCCCAGGGACTCCGTGTACGGTGACCCTGTACTGCACAGCAGCCCTACGCTCCTCTGTACTGAAGAGCTGGGACACACACACACACACACAGCATGGGTTTAGGGGTACTGCAGGGCTGAATCAAAATCCTGCAGACTGACCGAGTTGCTGTCCAGGACAGTAGTAGGAGAGAACCTGCACTACACATTCACTTACTAGACACACTCCCTACACACTATATACTGTACACTACACACTATACACTCACCCGTGATGCAGGCTGTGAACCTGCTGCTCCACTGTCTTCAGTTCTACGGCTGTAGATGAACAGACTAGAGACTGGCAGGGCATCGTTGTGCTGATTCCTCAGCTGCACATGTCTGTATCCTGCCACACACGGTTTTGAAATAATTGCCACTGTTAGTACTGGGAATATAATTTGACTGGGAATATAACTCTTATTTGACATCATTACTGGCTTTCTTCTATTTGTTTTTAGAACCCTGCTCTCTCTTTTAAAATGAACTTAATATGGGAATAGAATTTCTACAGTTCTGTTTGAATTCAATTAGCTAATCAAATTTTAACAGTTATCTTTATCTTCGTTTTTTTCTGTAAAGTATAGGAATGATTTCAACACAGACCGTTTTATTGGACAGCGGGAAAAATATGTAAAGAATCCGTTAGCTGAGCCAAACTGCCAATCATTGGCCTGATGTGACAGAGAGATTTAATGTCTGGTCTCAGAGTAGTGTGGGAACCAACGTGACAGGACTGGAGTACCAAATGTTCCTCAATGCGAAAGCACAACAGTCTCCAAGTGTGTGTGTCAAATGCTTTTTGTGCATCTCTCAAGAATGAATGAAGCAAGCCGATGATTCACAATGAAACTTTTATTTACAAATAGCCTGATTTAACAAAAAAGTTGGCATCAAAATGAGAAAATAACAAAAAAAGAAGGGTCTTTATTAAAAACACAATTAGACGCTGTGTCAAGAACATTTAGGCCACAATTTGGTAATGAGGTGTCGCAAGGTGTTGATGAACTCCCAGATCGTGAGTTGTCTGGTCTTCTCAAAAAAGAACCCAAGTGACCGATACCAGGCCTTCACTACGCTGTTGGTCTTCCAGATGTCTTGTAGGACAGCATCATAGTAGTTCCACATTTCTAAAATAAAAATATATCAACATGTTAGAAATGTAATTATTTGCCCCATTGTCATCAATGCTATGGCCTAATAATTAATAAAAAAAACAAAATAAAAATAAACCATAATCGTAGCCTAATAGGCCTAAGCTACTGTTTTTAACGGCATACCCATGTTAAATTCCGGTGCTTTGTCTCCAGTGCCAATCCATGTCTTCTCAAAGTTCTCCAGGAAGATGGACAGCTCCGGGTCCTGAAAGAATGCAGTTTCCTTCATTTCCTTGAAACACTTCACCACGTCAGCCGGTGGGACAAATGCGGGCGTGTACAGCATCTGGACGTGATGGGTCGCAGGCTCTTCAGCATGAGTATATGTGTTGCAACAAGATGTTTGCTAAAAAATATAAACATAATATTAGATGGCATGTTCACCTCAAGGTGTTTTTCCCCTATTTTGTAAATGGACACTTTATTAGACTAAAGTAATAATTGAAATTTTGTTCTAGTTTTATTTCATGTGTAGGCCTATGGCAGCTAAAATCTGAATATAGACCTACAACAATAAAACATTTAAATCAATAAACTGAAAACAGGCCAACAATATAATAAAAAATAAAAAAACATTTATAATTAGGCTAAATCAATTATATTGTTGGTACATACCTCAGACTTATCTGTCATAACAATATAGGCTGCTGCATAAACCATTGACTCCATCCCGCGGGTGGGGTGCATCTTTCTGTGCATCCTGTAAATGGTGTATACCTGCTGGCACAAAGATGGAATCTTCTTGAATGATCCATCTGCAAACAAATGATTGCATGCCCGCAGGAATTCTAAGTGGGGTTTCATGGTGAAGATCCCAAATCTGTCCTGGTCCACTGTCGTGCTGGAGGAAATGGTGTTCACGGCCTTATTCACGCGTGGTGCTATGGTAGATCTCAGGTATTATTGGCCAGGTTGGAGAGGATTGCAGGTAGGTCGAAATCGGAGACGGTTGCGGGTTCAGACGCTGTCGGGTCTCCCCATCTGTGACCCCCGCCTCAGGGATGACAGGGTCGGGGAGAGTTGCAGGTTCAGCCACGTCTTTACCTGCTGCCGTACCATGGCTCTCAGGGATGGTTTCAGCCACGTCTTTACCTGCTGCCGTACCATGGCTCTCAGGGATGGTTTCAGCCACGTCTTTACCTGCTGCCGTACCATGGCTCTCAGGGATGGTTTCAGCCAAGTCTTTACCTGCTGCCGTACCATGGCTCTCAGGGATGGTTTCAGCCACGTCTTTACCTGCTGCCGTACCATGGCTCTCAGGGATGGTTTCAGCAAAGTCTTTACCTGCTGCCGTACCATGGCTCTCAGGGATGGTTTCAGCCACGTCTTTACCTGCTGCCGTACCATGGCTCTCCGGGATGGTTTCAGCCACGTCTTTACCTGCTGCCGTACCATGGATCTCAGGGATGGTTTCAGCCACGTCTTTACCTGCTGCCGTACCATGGCTCTCAGGGATGGTTTCAGCCACGTCTTTACCTGCTGCCGTACCATGGCTCTCAGGGATGGTTTCAGCCACGTCTTTACCTGCTGCCGTACCATGGCTCTCAGGGATGGTTTCAGCCAAGTCTTTACCTGCTGCCGTACCATGGCTCTCAGGGATGGTTTCAGCCGATACCGGCGGCGTCCTCTTCTTCTTTTGCAGGTGCTTCTGTAGGCCTACACACTTTTTTACGTTGTGTACAGGTTTGTTTCTGACAGTCTCTGACAACCGATGACTCCAAAACGCAGTGTGCTTTCCTCGGTCTCCAGATTCCTCTTCTTCAGGTTATTCAACTCCCATTTACTCTCTGTGTTCAACACCTGTTGACCTGTCACCGTTCCATCCGGGTCGTGGTTGTGTTCTCCTGACACGTTGGATATATTGGTCCCCCAGTCAGTGAGGACCATGCGACCTCGGCACTTGTGAGAATCATATTTAATGCACATGCAGTATGAATTGTTTTTTGCAGGCTTTTGTTCCATTTTGTAGATGTAGCTATTATGTTAGATCCTGCTTCCCGGCATTGAAAGGGTCAGTGCTTCAAGTGACTTGAAATTGAAAGCTCTTCTCGTTTTGGGTGCCTGATTTTCTTTTTTTTCCTATCGATTGGTTGAATGACAGTTGAGTTAAGTAGTAGTAGCTTGTTCTTGGTAGGATAGCTTTTGAGGAAAGGTGTGGCCTATTTATTTTTAAAAAATGAAAATGTTTTTATATATTTTTAACCAACTAGGCTATTTGCAAGTCTATTGCAAAATGTATTGTTGGAATATCAAGGTCCCTCTAAAACTATGTGTTGATAGCTCTGACAGTTTTTGCAGTTCCTGTGTCCTTGCACAAACATAAAGGATCATTTCAATCAGAATAGTTTGTGCATGAATTAGGCTCATTATAGCAGCATATAGGCCGACATTTGCATTCAACAGTAAGGCCATAAGCCTCCCCCCAGTGAACTTACCATAAATTTAATTAATTAACGGGCACGTGACGACAAATAGGTCCGGCTCATTTACATGCATCACACCTAATTGTTTGCATGTGCGTGGCCATTCAGTTGGGATGTGCCCATTCAGTTTGAATTGGGTGCTTATTCAGAAGCACTTGAGAAGTGTTAATGTTTGGAAAGAATGTACACCTATAGCCATAACCACAGCAGTTAGACCTACAGGTGTTAATGTTTGGAATGTCTGGAGTCCTTTTAATCATGATTGCATTGTTTTCAACACTAATGTGGTAATGAGTTTTTTTTCATCTGAAATGACTGTAGCTGTACCAGGCTTGGGTCTTCTAGTCTTTTAACAAAAACACAATCTTTGTGTATGTGTGCCTGTGCTTAAAATGAGAATAGTCCATGGAAGATAAGTCAGAGATGAAATTCTGCAGCATGTGTGTGTCTCTGTGTGTTTTTTCAGAGTGTGCGCATGCACGTCTGTGTGTTTGCCTACTGTACCTGTCCTGAATGCTCTGAGTGGTATGATCCTATGAGCGGTGGTCTGGGAGCTGTTGTGTTCCACCACAGTAAAGCGTAGGAAGGCCAGGTCAGCCATGAGTAGGGGGAAGTGGAAGCTCTGGTTCCATATGGGGTTCAGGGGGTTACGGTGGATGGGTTTGGTGCGGAAGTGGCACCCGTCTGCCTGCATGCCCATGATGTCTACCTCGATGTAAGGACTGCCTGCTGTGGTCCCTGGGCATACATTCTGACCAGAGATGATCTGGAAGAAATGGAAAGAGATAGAGAGAAGGAGGGAGGGAGGGAGGGAGAGAGAAAAGAGAGACAGAGACCGAGAGAAAGACGTCAATAAAAAAAAAACTTTACATTAGATGAACTGACCAAAAAAGGAAACCAGTTGACACTGCTGCTTTTGCGGATCACTAGCTACTTGTTGTATACTACTGTTATTATGTGATTGTACACTGAGTGGACAAAACATTATGAACACCTGCTCTTTTCTTGACATGGACTAGGTGAAAGCTATGATCCCTTATTGAAGTCACCTGTTAAATCCACTTCAATCCGTTTAGATGAAGGGGAGGAGATAGGTTAAAGAAGGATTTTTAAGCCTTGAGACAATTGAGACATGGATTGTGTATGTGTGCCATTCAGAGAGTGAATGGGCAAAATAAAAGATTTACAGTGCATTCGGAAAGTATTCAGACCCCTTGACTTTTTCCATATTTTCTTACGTTACAGCCTTATTCTAAAATGGATGAAATAGTTTTTTCCCCCCTCATCAATCTACACACAATACCCCATAATGACAAGCAAAAACAGGTTTTTAGAAATATTTGCAATTGTATAAAAAAAGAAAAATTGAAATATTACATTTACATAAGTATTCAGACCCTTTACTCAGTACTTTGTTGAAGCACCTTTGGCAGCGATTTCAGCCTTGAGTCTTCTTGGGTATGACGCTACAAGCTTGGCACACCTGTCTTTGGGGAGTTTCTCCCATTCTTCTCTGCAGATCTGCTATTTTCTGGTCTCTCCAGAGATGTTCGATCGGGTGGCTGGGCCACTCAAGGACATTCAGAGATTTGTCCTGAAGCCACTCCTGCGTTGTCTTGCCTGTGTGCTTAGGGAGCAGGTTTTCATCAAGGATCATAATCTCATAGCAAAGGGTCTGAATACTTATGTAAATAAGGTATCTGTTTTTTATCTTTAATACATTTGCAAAAATTTCTAAAAACCTGTTTTCGCTTTGTCATTATGGGGTATTGTATGTAGATTGATGAGGAAAATGTTTTCTTTAATCCATTTTAGAATAAGGCTGTAACGTAACAAAATGTGGAAAAAGTCAAGGGGTCTGAATACTTTCCGAATGCACTGTAAATTGTAAATGCCTTTGAACAGGGTATGGTAGTAGGTGCCAGGCACAGCGGTTTGAGTGTGTCAAGAACTGCAACACTGCTGGGTTTTTCACACTCAACAGTTTCCCATGTGTATTAAAAATGGTCCACCACCCAAAGGACATCCAGCCAACTTGACACAACTGTAGGAAGTAGTGGAGTCAACATGGGCCAGCATCCCTGTGGAACGCTTTCGACACCTTGTAGAGTCCACGTCCCGACAAATTGAGCCGTTTCTGAGGGCAAAAGGGGGTGCAACTCAATATTAGGAAGGTGTTTCAAATTTTTTGTACACTCACTGTATGTATATATACACAGTTGAAGTCGGAAGTTTACATACACCTTAGCCAAATATATTTAAACTCAGTTTTTCACAATTCCTGACATTTAATCCTAGTAAGAATTCCCAGTCTTAGGTCAGTTAGGATCACCACTTTATTTTAAGAATGTGAAATGTCAGAATAATAGTAGAGAGAATGATTTATTTCAGCTTTATTTATTTCATCACATTCCCAGTGGGTCAGAAGTTTACATACACTCAATTAGTAAATGGTAGCATTGCCTTTAAATTGTTTAACTTGGGTCAAACGTTTCAGGTAGCCTTCCACAAGCTTCCCACAATAAGTTGGGTGAATTTTGGCCCATTCCTCCTGACAGAGCTGGTGTAACTGAGTTAGGTTTGTAGGCCTCCTTGCTCGCACACGCTTTTCAGTTCTGCCCACAAATGTTCTATTGGATTGAGGTCAGGGCTTTGTGATGGCCACTCCAATACCTTGACTTTGTTGTCCTTAAGCCATTTTGCCACAACTTTGGAAGTATGCTTGGGGTCATTGTCCATTTGGAAGACCCATTTGCGATCAAGCTTTAACTTCCTGACTGATGTCTTGAGATGTTGCTTCAATATATCCACATCATTTTCCTTCCTCATGATGCCATCTATTTTGTGAAGTGCACCAGACCCTCCTGCAGCAAAGCACCCCCACAGCATGATGCTGCCACCCCTGTGCTTCACGGTTGGGATGGTGTTCTCCGGCTTGCAAGCCTTCCCCTTTTTCCATCAAACATAACAATGGTCATTATGGCCAAACAGTTCTATTTTTGTTTCATCAGACCAGTAGACATTTCTCCAAAAAGTACAATCTCTCCAAAAAGTACAATATAGATACTTTTGTACCTGTTTCCTCCTGTCACGAACGTTGACTGATGACTCGTGGAACCAAGGCGCAGCGTGATAAGCGTACATTTTATTTAGTACACAACACACGAACAAAACAACAAAACGAACGATACGTGAAGTCCTGAGGTTACAACAACACAAACCTTTACGGAACAAGATCCCACAAACTAACTGGTGCCAACAGGCTGCCTAAGTATGGTCCCCAATCAGAAACAACGAGCTACAGCTGCCTCTGGTTGGGAACCACCCTGGCCAACATAGATCTAAATGATCTAGAACAAAAAACATAGAAAACTAAACATTGAAAAATCCACACCCTGGCTCAACATTTAAGAGTCCCCAGAGCCAGGGCGTGACACCTCCAGCATCTTCACAAGGTCCTTTGCTGTTGTTCTGGGATTGATTTGCACTTTTCGCATCAAAGTACGTTCATCTCTAAGAGACAGACCGCGTCTCCTTCCTGAGCGGTATGATGGCTGCGTGGTCCCATGGTGTTTATATTTGCGTACTATTGTTGTTTGTACAGATGAATGTGGTACCTTCAGGTATTTGGAAATTGCTCCCAAGGATGAACCAGACTTGTGAAGATCTACAAAAAAAATTCTGAGGTCTTGGCTGATTTCTTTTGATTTTCCCATGATGTCAAGCAGAGGCACTGAGTTTGAAGGTAGGCCTTGAAATACATCCACAGGTACACATCCAATTGAATCAAATTATGTCAATTAGCCTGTCAGAAGCTTCTAAAGCCATGACATCATTTTCTGGAATTTTCCAAGCTGTTTAAAGGCACAGTCAACTTAGTGTATGTAAACTTCTGACCCACTAGAATTGTGATACAGTGAATTATAAGTGAAATAATCTGTCTGTAAACAATTGTTGGAAAAATTATTTGTCATGCACAAAGTAGATGTCCAAACCGACTTGCCAAAACTATAGTTTGTTAACAATACATTTGTGGAGTGGTTGAAAAACAAGTTTTAATGACTCTAACCTAAGTGTATGTAAACTTCCGACTTCAACTGTGTATATATATATATACACATCCAATCCATTACTATTTCTGCTATGTACTCACAGTGAGAGAGAACAGGGCGGGGCTCATGCCTTCTGGGTCTCTGTCCAGGGGGCAGAAGTGTCTGTAGAGTGGGCAGCTGGGGTCCCACAGGACAGGGGGCTTCAGTAGGAACCCACAACCCCCGTTAGGCTCAAACATGGCCGCGTTCACCACCACCTTTTCTCCACCTCCCCGTTGCGCCCCTGGTCTGGTCCCGCTGACTGGAGCTGGACCCGACGACGGTGGACCAAACCTTACCGGCTCCGGACTGGAGCCGCTGGCCGGAGCTGGACTGGACACCGGTGTAGCGGATTGTTCTGGCTCCGGAGTGGATCCGCTGACCGGTGCCGGAGCAGGCACCGGTGGAACAGGCACGGGCCGTGCCGGACTGGACACACGCACCACTGGCTTGGCGCGGGGAGCAGGAACGGGCCGGACCGGGCTGACGACGCGCACCACTGGCTTGGTGCGGGGAGAAGGAACGGGCCGGACCGGGCTGACGACGCGCACCACTGGCTTGGTGCGGGGAGCAGGAACGGGCCGGACCGGGCTGACGACGCGCACCACTGGCTTGGTGCGAGGGACAGGAACAGGCCGGACCGGGCTGGCGACGCGCACCACTGGCTTGGTGCGAGGGTCAGGAACAGGCCGGACCGGGCTGGCGACGCGCACCACTGGCTTGGTGCGGGGAGAAGGAACGGGCCGGACCGGGCCGGACCGGGCTGACGACGCGCACCACTGGCTTGGTGCGGGGAGCAGGAACGGGCCGGACCGGGCTGACGACGCGCACCACTGGCTTGGTGCGAGGGACAGGAACAGGCCGGACCGGGCTGGCGACGCGCACCACTGGCTTGGTGCGAGGGTCAGGAACAGGCCGGACCGGGCTGGCGACGCTCACCACTCGCTTGGTGCGGGGAGCAGGAACAGGCCGGGCTGGACTGGGAACACGCACCACTGGCTTGGTGCGGGGAGAAGGAACAGGCCGGACTGGACTGGGAACACGCACCACTGGCTTGGTGCGGGGAGCCGGAACGGGCCGGGCCGGACTGTGGAGGCGGACTGGAGGTCTGGAGCGGAGAGCTGCCACAACCCGTCCTGGCTGAATGCCTATTTCCACACAATATGTGTGAGGCATCAGCACAGGACGTACAGGGCTGTGCACTCGTACTGGCGCTGCAGCACGTGGCACTGGCGCAGGACATACGGGACCGAGGAGGCGTACTGGAGGCCACGAGCATTGAGCCGGCACACCCCGTCCTGGCTGCATGCCCATCTTAGCACGACACGTGCGTGGTGCTAGCACCGGATATACAGGACTGTGCCGGAACACTCGCGGCACAGTACGTGGCTCCGCATAACACGGAGCCTGCCCAGTCTCACGCTTCCTAGCCTGAGTACGGGGAGTTGGCTCTGCTCTAACTCTAGGCTCCGCCAACCACCCTTTTAGCCCCCCCCCAAAAAATGATTGGGGCTGTCTATCGGGCTTCCTCTTCGGCCGGTACCCTCCGCGCCTCCACAGTCTCCTCCCAAGGACGGCGATCCATTCCGGCCTGAATCTCTTCCCAAGTCCAGGATCCCTTCCCGTCCAGGATCTCCTCCCAAGTCCAGGCTGTCTGTTCCTGGACACGCTGCTTGGTCCTCTTTAGGTGGGATCTTCTGTCACGAACGAACTGATGACTCGTGGAACCAAGGCGCAGCGTGATAAGCGTACATTTTATTTAGTGCACAACACATGAACAAAACAACAAAACGAACGATACGTGAAGTCCTGAGGTTACAACAACACAAACCTTTACGGAACAAGATCCCACAAACTAACTGGTGCCAACAGGCTGCCTAAGTATGGTCCCCAATCAGAAACAACGAGCTACAGCTGCCTCTGGTTGGGAACCACCCTGGCCAACATAGATCTAAATGATCTAGAACAAAAAACATAGAAAACTAAACATTGAAAAATCCACACCCTGGCTCAACATTTAAGAGTCCCCAGAGCCAGGGCGTGACACCTCCAGCATCTTCACAAGGTCCTTTGCTGTTGTTCTGGGATTGATTTGCACTTTTCGCATCAAAGTACGTTCATCTCTAAGAGACAGACCGCGTCTCCTTCCTGAGCGGTATGATGGCTGCGTGGTCCCATGGTGTTTATATTTGCGTACTATTGTTGTTTGTACAGATGAATGTGGTACCTTCAGGTATTTGGAAATTGCTCCCAAGGATGAACCAGACTTGTGAAGATCTACAAAAAAAATTCTGAGGTCTTGGCTGATTTCTTTTGATTTTCCCATGATGTCAAGCAGAGGCACTGAGTTTGAAGGTAGGCCTTGAAATACATCCACAGGTACACATCCAATTGAATCAAATTATGTCAATTAGCCTGTCAGAAGCTTCTAAAGCCATGACATCATTTTCTGGAATTTTCCAAGCTGTTTAAAGGCACAGTCAACTTAGTGTATGTAAACTTCTGACCCACTAGAATTGTGATACAGTGAATTATAAGTGAAATAATCTGTCTGTAAACAATTGTTGGAAAAATTATTTGTCATGCACAAAGTAGATGTCCAAACCGACTTGCCAAAACTATAGTTTGTTAACAATACATTTGTGGAGTGGTTGAAAAACAAGTTTTAATGACTCTAACCTAAGTGTATGTAAACTTCCGACTTCAACTGTGTATATATATATATATACACATCCAATCCATTACTATTTCTGCTATGTACTCACAGTGAGAGAGAACAGGGCGGGGCTCATGCCTTCTGGGTCTCTGTCCAGGGGGCAGAAGTGTCTGTAGAGTGGGCAGCTGGGGTCCCACAGGACAGGGGGCTTCAGTAGGAACCCACAACCCCCGTTAGGCTCAAACATGGCCGCGTTCAGCTGCAGGGGCAGGTCTGTCAGAGAGGGAGGGAGAGAAAGAGAGAGAAATATGGTCACTTTCAGAGATTCAAAAAAATATGTTTGTGCTCCAACAACTAGAATTTCAGACAGACAATGTCATTTTCATGTTGTTGACTTGTGCTCCATTCAATTGACTTCCCTGATTCAACTTCCCCTTGTCCCTTCGTACTTTCGACTGAATGCAGACAGCGCCAACTCATTCTCCCAATAGGCCAAACATGGGTTGCTTGAATGAAGCTAGCCAAATGAATTTCCCACTTTTGGCATAATAAAGCAAACTTGACTTAGTTGACGACTCCTAGCATCTAGCTCACCATCGGTCTGGTAGTTGAGAGCGACCAGCTGTATTCCATGCAGCCAGAAGAGTAGGGGACTGGGGTTTGTGGAGTCGATACGTGTGGCTGCCGGGTAGGTCCGCAGGAGCTGGGCGCTGGTGTGTTGGATCAGCTTCTGGGAGTAGCGGCGACACAGGCGCTTGGCAGCGTTCTCATTGACTGAGGAGACGTGATAGCATTTTGGGGTGCGGATAAGGGAGCTGAGGGAGGCATTACAGGTGTAAGGAGGGGAGTTGGGTGATTCTTCCCAGTTGGGACGAGGGCCCTCCGATGCTGCTCCTTCAGATTTAGGGGAAAGGGTTATGAGAGACGTGTGTTAGAGGTATGTGTTTATGTGTGTGTGTGTGTGTGTGTGTGTGTTTAACTATTCTTGTGGGGACCAGAAGTCCCTACAAGAATAGTAAACAAACAAAAATGTTGACCAACTGGGGACATTTTGTTAATCCCCACAAGGTCAAATGCTATTTCTAGGGGGTTTAGGGTTAAGGTTAGAATTAGTGTTAGGGTTAGAATTATGTTAAGGGTTAGGAGTTAGGGTTAGGAGCTAGGGTTAGGTTTAGGGTTAGAGTTAAGGTTAGGTTTTTGGGTTAAGGTTAGGGTTAGGGTAAGGGTAAGAGTACGGGTTAGGTTTAGGGTTAGGGAAAATAGGATTTTGAGTTAGAACTCTGTGAGTATTGGGCCCACTCTGGGTCACAGATAGACAGTCATGGGGCAGAGAAGAGTAGCCTACCTCGCCCTGGGGTGCGCATCATTGTCGATGAGTCCACTGGAAAACCTTTCCCTGGGGGATTCCCAAAAATGGACCTCCTGCCCTTTCCTCTAGAAGAAAGAACTTCCTTTCTCTCTTTTCTCTCCCTGGGAGTCTCAGATGGAGTAGGGGTGGATAGACCTGGGACACACACACACAAAAGTCATCCAAATGTGAAAATAGTGAATACAAGTGAGACAAATGCTTCAGAGATATTATATTGGCCTATACCTACAACTATATCGAAAGACTGGAAAACGAAGCTATTTATAAGGAATTGTATAGTTTGTTTACAGAAGAGGATGTAATGTAAGGAACTACCTGGGAATTTGACAGCTTGGCAGTAGATCACCAGATCCGATAGCTCCTGGGCTATCTGGCGTCCTTCCTTCTTGCTTCGAGGCAGCTTGAATTCTTCCTCCAGCTCCTTGCCAAATACCTGTGTGTGTGTGTGTGTGTGTGTGTGTGTGTGTGTTTGTGTGTGTGTGTTTGTGTGTGTGTGTAAAAAAATACAAAAGAGACAAAACTCTTTCAGACAAATACCAGCAATATCCATACATGTTGAATATTTATTTTAAAATGTTTAACCCCATGTCTCATGCTGTGATTAATCAAACATTACAGGACAAACTGGTTAATTAGCTTTTTTATTACTATGTTTACTGGATCCCACCACTGCCACCAAATGGATATGGAGGACAAACTCACCTTTCCTTTATTGTGAGTAGCACTCTCGCATTTCTTCATCTTCTTGGGGACTTCGTCACAGTGTTCATTCTGTAACTTCTCCCCTGACGAAGACTTTCCCTCCGGTCTATCCTCCAGGATATTATCTGTATCAACGTAGACATTCCCAGCCAAATACATCATTATTGCAGTCTAAACAAAAACACACACTCATTCAGTATAATCTAATTTGATGTTTTCAGTGACAAATAACTATAACATTCAAACATTTGGCCAAAAAACGATTGGCTTTCAAGCAATCTCGTTGTTTTTGACCCACTTGGTAATCAAATTGAGTATCAGTGTATACTCATTTAGTAGAAAATAAGCTTTTGAATATCACAACCCCCTTGTGCAATGGACACAGTCACACAGCCAGTGTACTAGAGCACTGCACAAACAGAGCACAGATCTATTCAGCAACAGGACAACAAGCATGCTGTGGGTTTAGAAAATCTTAAGTGATTCATTTGAATACTTGTATTACCTTCTGGGATATAAGAAGCAGGAGATAAAGTCAGGACGTCAGCTACAGAGGAAGAGTGAGTAGGGGGTCAGAGGATGAGTAGAAGAATTGGGATGATCAACAGTATTGCTGTTTGAGGGTATTATGAGAGTGTTACGACGAAATGGCTTGACTATAAACTGGCATTCACTGGGATGGTATTGGTGGTGTGATCATACCATCAGATAGTGATTCGTACTCATAGTCGTATTCATCCTCATACTCTTCTTCCTCTTCTTCCTCATTGTTGATGGTTGGGAAGGGAGGAGGCATCACACTACTGGCCTGAGCATGCATCTGGGCCAACTGGTGAGCCTGTATCAGGAAGAGTTATTTAGGACAATCTTAGTTCATTCTAATTACGTATCAGTGTACCATCAATTTAGGTACATACAGTATAGCACATTACAGTGCATTTGGAAAGTATTCAGACCTCTTGATTTTTTTACGTTACAGCCTTATTCTTAAATTCTATATATGTTTTTTTTCCCATCATCAATCTACACACGATACCCCATAATAACAAAGCAAAAACTGGTTTTTAGGAAATGTATAGAAAATAAAAATCTGAAATATCCTGACCTTTGTCAGCGATTACAGCCTCGAGTCTTCTTGGGTATGACGCTACAAGCTTGGCACACCTGTATTTGGGGAGTTTCTCCCATTCCTCTCTGCAGATCCTCTCAAGCTCTGTCAGGTTGGATGGGGAGCGTTGCTGCACAGATATTTTCAGGTCTCTCCAGATATGTTCGATCAGGTTCAAGTCAAGGACATTCAGAGACTTGTCCCGAAGCCACTCCTGCGTTGTCTTGGCTGTGTGCTTAGGGTCGTTGTTATGTTGGAAGGTGAACCTTCGCCCCAATTTGAGGTCCTGAGCGCTCTGGAGCAGGCTTTCGTCAAGGATCTCTCGGTATTTGCTCCGTTCATCTTTGCCTCGATCCTGACTAGTCTCCCAGTCCCTACCGCTGAAAAACATTCCCACACCATGACGTGACACTTGGCATTCAGGCCAAAGAGTTCAATCTTGGTTTCATCAGACCAGGGAATCTTGTTTCTCATGGTCTGAGAGTCTTTAGATGCCTTTTGGCAAACTCCAACCGGGCTGTCATGTGCCTTTTTACTGAGGAGTGGCTTCCGTCTGGCCACTCTACCATAAAGGCCTGATTGGTGGAGTGCTGCAGAGATGGTTGTCCTTCTGGAAGGTTCTCCCATCTCCACAGAGGAACTCTAGAACTCTGTCCGAGTGACCATCAGGTTCTTGGTCACCTCCCTAACTAAGGCCCTTCTCCCCCGATTGCTCAGTTTGGCCGGGCGGCCAGCTCTAGGAAGAGTCTTGGTGGTTCCAAACTTCTTCCATTTAAGAATGATGGCGGCCATTGTGTTTTTGGAGACCTTCGATGCTGAAGACATTTTTTGGTACCCTTCCCCAGAGCTGTGCCTCAACACAATCCTGTCTCTGAGCTCTACGGACAATTAATTTGACCTCATGGCTTGGTTTTTGCTCTGACATGCATTGTCAACTGTGAGACCTTATATTGACAGGTGTGTACCTTTACAAATCATGTCCAATCAATTGAATTTACCACAGGTGGACTTTACCACAGGTGGACAGAAACATCTCAAGGATGATCAATGGAAACAGGATTCACCTGAGCTCAATTTCGAGTCTCAAAGCAAAGGGTCTGAATACTTATGTAAATAAGGTATTTAAGTTATTTATTTGTAATACATTTGCACAAATGTATAAAAACCTGTTATCGCTTTGTCATTATGGGGTATTGTGTGTAGATTGCTGAGGAAAATAAAATATTTAATCCATTTAAGAATAAGGCTGTAATGTAACAAAATGTGGAAAAAGTCAAGGGGTCTGAATACTTTCCGAAGATAAAGGACTGGATCAATAACTGTTAAGAAAACATTTGGTTAGTGAGTTCATTGTCAGTGTCCTTGCTTTCTGTTTGAGGATGTCCACCGGCGTCTGGTGAGCTTTCAGCTTCTTGTTCTTGAGGAGGATTTTCCCCCTCAGTTGCCATGGTGACGGCAACAGCGGGTCATCTGAGAAATCACTCTCGAACAGGAACTTTGTCACCAGCTTATCCCCAAACACAGTCTGTTGAAGGACAACACACAAACACACCATCAGAGTTCTAATGTGTTTTTCTAAGGGAAGACAGATCAATTATGATTGACTTATTAAAGGCAATGTATATGTTCCGGTTCACTAACTCTATGCCTAACCTTACCCTAACCTCACCCCCTCTAACCCTAACCTTAATTTGTTTGATCTGCCGGCTGAATATATACTTTCTTGAGTAAAGCACCAACAAGCATGTAAGAGCCCATTTCACATCTCAACATTTCAACAATGAACTGGACAGAATAGTAAGTAAGCCTACTCACCTTGAAGATGTTGGCCATCTTGCGTTGCTGCGGCAGGGAGCAGTGATTCTCTATGGACAGCATCACAGGCAGGTCAGAGGTCACGAAGGCAGATCGGTTCACTGCTTCCACCACATCCTGCAGGAATGGGAGGAGGAATTGGATTACATGTGTGGCAGGTAGCCTAGCGGTTAGAGAGACGAGCCAGCAACTGGATGGTTGCCAGTTTGAATCCCGGTTCTGACAGGAAAAATCTGGCGGGAAGTGAGCTGACAACCGAAGGGTTGCCGGTATCAAATCCTAGATGCTGTTGTGCCCTTGAGCAAGGCACTTAACCCCCCACAACAACGGTGCCCAGTGTGGCACCCTGCACCTCTCCAAAACTGGTCTATGTACACTACCAGTCAAAAGTTTTAGAACACCTACTCATTCAAGGGTTTTTCTTTATTTTTACTATTTTCTACATTGTAGAATAATAGTGAAGACATCAAAACTATGAAATAACACATATGGAATCATTTAGTAACCAAATAAGTGTTAAACAAATCAAAATATATTATATATTTGAGATTCTTCAAATAGCCACCCTTTGCCTTGATGACAGCTTTGCACACTCTTGGCAACCCAACCCAACTGAACTCAACCCAGATCAACTCAACTCAATTTACCCAACCCAACCCAGCCCAATTCAACTCAGCTCAATTCCACTCAACTCAACACACCTTGAAGGGTATGCGGGTGGTGAGTGTGTGTCCATGATAGATGATTGGCATGCCATCGTCTCCATCCCAACAGTCCAGTTCAACACTCCTGCATCCCTGCAGGAGCACCTGAGACAACAAGAAACCAAACAAACAATAATGTAGTGACCTTAGCACCATCCCTAGAAACCTCTATGGCTTGGCTCAAGAAGGTTTGGATCTCTTGATGTAATTGGTGTTGTACTGACAGACACAAGGACTCAGGTTCAAGTCCTGGTAGTGCTTCCCCCCAGATTCGCTACAATAAAGGCTTTTCACTGACAGTGTATCAGCACAACAGCTGTATTGCTGTACACTCAATTGGTTTGAGTAAATAATATTACATGGAATATGATCCCCATCATGGTAATACCAGTGTTCTGATTCTCACCTGGCTGTACAGCTCCACAGATGACTCTCCCTTGAGTTGGTGGGCGGTCAGGTAGGTGTTGTGTGATGTAGCGATGTAGTAGTAAGACAGAGGGTACTGGAGCTCTAACACATTCAGCTGAGACTCCTCCAGTTTGGAAGCAGAGTTGTCCTTGTCCATCAGATACCTTATAGCAGGGTAAAGCAAACCTAGGTCATTTCTGAATTGAGGTCCTTTTTGGCGAAGTTGGTAAGAGCATGGTGCTAGTAACGTCAGGGTCATGGGTTCAATTCCCGCAGGGATCACAAACGCTTACTAAAAATACTGACCGTGCAAATCCCTCAAAGGACATCCAGCCAATCTGACGCAAACTGGCAGACGGTTCAAATTTCTGGAATACACAACACATGTCTCTTACACTAATTCAGTGGAAGATTGTCTGACAAAGCACAAAGTAGAAAGTACACACACACACACACACACACACACACACACACACACACACACACAGACACTAACAATGACAGACAGACACAGACACACACACCTGGATGATTCTTAGGACTTCATCATGCGAGTGGTTCTCTCCCTGACAGTTGACCAGGAAGTCATTGAGGTGCATGATGGTCATGCCCAGAGCTCCCAGCGAGACACTCTCCACGCCAGTACTGTTGGTCACAATGCTGGCTGCAGCTATGGCATCTGAAATATGCTTCTGATTGTCTGACATGTGTCGCTTGATCCGGATGGAAAGGCCAAGGTCTAGGCTGTTACGTGTCAGAAGGTCTAGTATGGGGGAAAATACAAATAAAGATTTATAAACTTCACTTCACAAAACAAGTATGAGTTGCTGAGTTTATGTTAGGGCACTTAAGGGCTTTTCACACTGCACATTTTCTGAGCTTCCTGTAAGTTTGTAGTTTGAAGACTGTTATTTCTAGCCTGATTCCAGATCTGTTTGTGCTTTTCTCACCAACGCCAGTGGACCGTACCAAGCCAAGCATTGCTATACAACACATACAGATCTGGGACCAGGCTACATTACTCCTATAGAATCTAAATGGAATTGACCCCAAATTGGCAGGTAACTCACCCAGGTCTGGCTGCAGTTCTGTGACTGTGTCGTCGATGCTGAGGTGAGTGTAGAGAGGAGCAGGCTCAGAGGCAGAGTGACCACAGGGCACAGCATGGGCATCAAACACATCCTTCAGGTCCTTACGACTCCGGATACTACACACCAACATGGGAACAAAATATTTAGGCCCCAATTCACTCAATTGTAGATCAATCAATTGTAGTCATCTTTCTAGGTCATGCTAGTGTGCAAATCAAACACACTACTGCAAGCCCTATCTGGAAATCCACAATCTGCCATTGATTAAATACTGGCTACATTTTACACTGGGAAATACACTGGGAAAATCTTAAGGAATGTACCTTCAACAACAGTTAATCTATTACACAACATACAGCATAGATAGATACATGTGGAGTTAGAGCAGATTACCTGAAGGACTTAAAGAGTTCAATAAACTCAGTAAAACTCATGGTGTCATCTGATACCATGAGGTTCTGGAAGCTCTTTGATTGGCTCTTACCGCGGCTAGGTAGTGTCTGATTGGGCCTATTACTGAAGCGAGAAGCCAATAAAAATACACATTAAAAGATATGTGTACTGAATTCCAGCACAAACATCATCACACACAAATGAATGAAACATGAAGTATATACACACACACACACACACACACTGAAGAATATACCATGCTTTGTAGCATCTTACCCCGGTTGAGCCTTCTGATTGGAGGCTGAGGATGAGATGGAGGAGGAAGATGTGCTAATGACCATGGATCTACTGCTGGAGGGGGAGAGAGGCCCAGGGAAACCATAGGAGCTGTTGTCATCTTGGTCTTGGTCCATGTTGTCTGTTGGGTCCGGTGCACTCCGCACTAAGATATCCCAACCACTCTTCACCTTCTGTGACACCATCTCATCATCTGTGGCATCCCCACTGTCCCCCTGTCACCACGTGCACACACACACACACGCCCAATTTAGTTATTTTATTGAAACTGACTCGACATGCTCTTCCAACCCAGCGCCAGGAATTTGTGCAGGAGTTGAATAAATCTCTACTGCAAATATGTTTCCTCACCCTAGTCACAGCCTTCTTTTTCTTTTTATTGGAGTTACCAGTCTTCTGATTGGAGGTCACAGTGAGATGGCTGTTCTTTTGAGCGCCAGACTTCTCCATGCTACCAGCACCCACACTCCATCTCCTGCCTCCAAACAGCTCGATGGCCTGGGCTAGTGTCGGACCCTCATACCTGCCATCCTCCTGGAAGACAGAGGAACAGTGTTGAAGTGCTCGAGTCCAGGACTCAGACTCACTCAAGTCATGATTTTCATGACTGGTGACACCATTCAGACTCTACCTGTAGTGACTCGGACTCGGACTGGAACACTATGGACTTGGGACTTGACTCTGACCCGAGGTTTAGTAACTTGACTCCTTCACTACATCACAGTCCCTCACCTGATAGAGGTTGATGTACTTCCTCCGGAGCCACTGCAGCCTTTGGTCAGGGAACCTCCTCATCCTCCTGTGAGCAGCTAACAGGGCCTGCAGCCCAGCATACACCATCCTAGCTGTGTTTCTTGGTGCCACAAAGTGTAATAACCTGTTGTCTGTCGTATGGAGTCCATAGAGCAGAGTCACCCCACACTCCTCCAGGCTCAGCCCACATGAGAGCTTGTTCTGCAGGCATACCGCCTGAATGTCAGCCCCTGGATGGCCCATGAAGACAGCTTTAGCCACGGAGAGATCCAGGAATCCATCCGCCAGGCCTTTCAGTATGGACTGCCCACAGTACTGAGGCCTGCAGTGGGGGAGGGTCTGACCACCAGCCCCTGACCCGGTGGGGCTCCGAAGCTTGGAGGAGTCAGAGCCAGGGCTAGAACCAGGGAGGCCCCCACCGCCACTGTGGAGCTTGGCCCAGGTGAGGACACAATTGTCAGGTTGGAGTCTGAGCAGGCAGCGGGCGGTGAGGTGGGAGTCCTGGTCGTAGTGGATCACGGTAGTGCCCTGCTGGAGGAAGTGGTGAACGTGGGGGTGGAGGGAAAGGATGTACCAGGGGATGAGCTCCGTACCGTGGGCAAAGGCCTTCTGAGTCCTCTCACCAGTACCCTGGAGGTCTGGGTCTTTGCCCTGTGATAGGTCAGATGGGTCACCCACGGAGTCGGAGAGATCGCCCACGGTGAACCTGACCAATTGCAGAGAAGAGGGTTTTCAGGAGAGGAAAATTACCCCATAAAACTTTAAAATGAATGCAGATTATATACAATGAGACACCAACACAAATATTTCTAAAGATGCAAAACACAAAACACATGATAATTTATTGACAATTATATTTAACACAATTAAATATTGAAATGGAGAGCCAACTTCACCTAGCTTGTATCAGATAGCAGATCAAGATATCGTATGGTGTTGTGGTACCAGTGTTTCCAGATTTTATTGACACAATCAAAGCCAAAATCCTGCACAAGCCACTAAAAAGTAGCTTAAAGTTAGGTGCATCCATTGTGAACACTTACTGGTTGCGGAAGCCGTCCATTAAGGAATTTTTACGTGAACCAGGGATGCTCCCGTCACCAGCCCCTCCAGACTCCTCCCCATCCTCAGACTCCATACTGCGGTTGCAGCTACGGATGGTCTGTAGGATGTTATTGACGGTTGCTTCCTTCTCTGGTTGGTTGAGCCCATCTGGCCCCGCCCGTTGCAGGAAGTTGTCCTGTCCATTGTAGTCAGAGAGAAACTATGGAAAGAAGACTTGGTGGTGTTTAAGATGGGAACAGATACTAAAGTATATTTATGATGAGTCGGGTTGTGTGGAGATTCACTTTTGGCCTGAAGGGATGGACTTTGATAAGAAAAAGGTATAATGCACTTTATATTTGGACAGAACTCACTAAGGATTTAAATGGTCCACACACACGCAAACAGTTGTGAAGAAGGCGTGACAGCGCCTCTTCCCCCTCAGGAGGTTGAAAAGATTTGGCATGGGCCCTCAAATCCTCAGAAAGTTCTACAGCTGCACCATCAAGAGTATCTTGACTGGCTGCATCACTGCTTGGTATGGAAACTGCACAGCCCTTGATTACATGGCGCTACAGAGGGTGGTGTGGACAGCCCAGTACATCTCTGGGGCCAAGCTCCCTGCCATCCAGGACCTCTATATCAGGTGGTGTGAAAGGAAGGCCCGGAAAATTGTTAAAGACTCCAGCCACCCAAGCCATAGACTGTTCTCTCTGCTTCCGCACGGCAAGCGGTACCGGAGTAACAAGTCTGACACCAACAGCCTCCTGAACAGCTTCTATCCCCAAGCCATAACACTGCTAAATAGCTGACAAAATTGCTACACAGACTACCTGCATTGACCCTTCTATTTTGTTTCTATTTTTCCGCTGACTATGCACACTCACACACCCAGTCTATCCACACTCTACACACTCACTCACACATACACACACTGACAATCCAACACACATACATGCACACACACACACACACTTAATTTGCTCACACACACATTAACCATACACACATTCATACTGACTCTACAGACAAGCGCACACACTCACATACAATCATCATATACGCAGCTGCTACTCTGTTTATCATATATCCTGATGCCTAGTCACCTTACCCCTACACATATCTACCCCTATACCACTCCAGTATCCCTGCACATTGTAAATATGGTATTGGCACTGACCCTGTAACTGACCCTGTTTATAGCTTACTTTCAATTTCTCATGTGTTTTTGTTCTACATTACTTTATATTATAGTATATGTTTGTACTGTCTTGCTAACTCCTTTGGCCATTGTCACACCCCCCAAACAGATCTGGGACCAGGCAAAACATTTATAATTCCTCACCTCCACAGAGTCCTGTGAGCTGAGGCGTGGTCTGAGGCTGATCAGGCTAGCTGCTCCATCCAGGGCCTCCCCTAGCTCTCTCAGAAAGACCCCACAGAAGGGCACTACCCTGCAGCCCGGGATGTGGAGGGCACGTGAGACCACCTTCCTGTACTCTGCAGACGTCTCGTGGTGCGCCATGGCATCCTTCAGGGCACGCATGGTCTCGATGTTTGACTGGTCCATGAACTGCCACATCTTAAGCACCTTGCGAGACCTGAAGGGTAGGATGGGGAGATGCTGAGTGTGAATAGGGAGATGCTGAGTGTTCCCTTGAATAATTGGTTCTATCCTTGCTTCTACCTGAGTCCAGCCAGGAACTCCATGACGGTGTTATAGTTTCCCATGTTCCAACAGCACCTGGCCACATGGACCAGACATGAGAACACCTCTCTCTTCTCCTCCATAGAACCGGCCGTCATAATCATCCACGTCACCCAGGAACTCACCTGGAAAATACAGTAACTGTAAGTGTTACTAACTGGGTGCGAATCCTGGGTTACCTTTGTGTAACAGGACTGAGTTAGCCTATTGAGCTAAAGGCATTAGCTCTGGAAGCCAACACAAGTCTTCAGGGGCCTCATTTAAAACCGTTGCATAAATTTCACACTCAATTTCTGTATGCGCCATTTATGAAACGTCTGTGCACACACTGTACATACATAAGCCTACTTCAATGTAAAATATCAGCTGTTAATTTCAACTGTATACCAGTATTATAAACAGCGCTGCCTATGATATTGCAAAACTTGAAATACATATAGCCTATCTATTTACTAGGCTACTAGGTCCAAGTATCGTTGATCATTGTCACGGATGGGGCTATTGCAGCAGACGACCACACCAGGTTCCACTCCTATCAGCTAAAAACAAGAAGAAGCAGCTCCAGTGGGCACGCGATCATCAACACTGGACAATTAAGGAGTGGAAAAACATTGACTGGTCCGACAAAATCCCGGTTCCTGTTGCATGATGCTGATGGCAGGGTCAGGATTTGACGTAAGCAGCATGAGTCCATGGACCCATCCTGCCTGGTGTCAACGGTACAGGCTGGTGGTGGTGGTGTACCGCCATCCAATCTGCAGAAACTGCATTATGCCATCGCGTCAGCATGGACCAACATCCCTGTGGAACATTTCCGACTTGTGGAATCCATGCTCACAAGAATTCAGGCTGTTCTGGAGGCAAAGTGTGTTCTGCAATGATTATGAAAATAAAATAAGTAGGAAAAAGATTCCTATGTCTAATTATTTTAGATTCTAAAAATAAAACACATTGATTTTCGCTCTTCTCACTAATGGTTGCATTCTTGTTAATATGTTTTCCTGTTTTTCGTTTTTTATGAATAAGCTTATTCATCATATCCATATCATGCACATAATACTTACTCACCAGCTTGCAATACAATATTTCAACCACTAGCAGATGTGCGTAAGCATGGTCTAAAGTTTGCGGGGATGTGAGCACATTTTCACTTCAAGTTAAATTTGTACAAATGCCAACTTTTGCGTGAAAACTGGCGCATTCAAATTTTTGGGGAAATGTTGTACGTATGCACGGTTTATAAATGAGGCCCCTGGTCTCAAGCACAGTTACTCTAGAGGTGGACCAACAATGCCCCATGTTGAGACACATAGCAGCTTAGTTCCCAGCTAGCACATTTGGTTCCCTGGAATTTGTTGGAATGTACGTTTTTGGTTTCCCATTGGTTCTGGGAATGAAGACATAAGTTTCCTGAAACGTTCTTAGAATGGAAGTGAACATTTTGCCTGTTCTGGGAACGTACATTTGTAGGTTGAAGGGAGGTTCTGAGAACATTTTACTATGGTTCCCTGAAAGTCTTCCTGGGAGGTTTTATTAACATTCTGAGAACGGTTTATGATAGGTTTTTTGACGGTAATTAAATAATGTTCTGAGAACATGTTTCAATAAGACTTTTAATAACACTACTAGCTTAGTTTGGGTTAATTGTTTTGAACTCCAAGCACAGATAGGACACATGGAAATTCATTTGCTTAGGCATGAATCATGCAAAGATATTTCTTTTTTATTGTGGCATGGCATCAGTGAGATTCGAATGTATGATCTTCTGTTCTCTATCCATGGAATTAGTCCACTGCGCAACCAGGATGGCGCTAGCATGTTTTTTAAAACTCATACAAAGCTGTCCATTTTAGTCTATTCAAACAGACCCGATTTCAATGGAAACAAGCACTCATTAAGATCAGGTGTGGCAAATTAGTGGGCGCGGCCAACACACCTGAACACACATAGTAAGATAGAGGATAGAGAGAACGGAATGTATATGTTTCTAAATAATATTCTTAGAAAGTTCTTTGAACATTACTAATGTTTTCTTGTGGTTTTTATGGATAGTTTTCTTAATGTTCTGAGAACATGACGTTAAATAGATACATGAGGAAACCTGCAGAAAATGTTATGCTGAAGTACTGAAATTCCCACAGAAGAATGTTGTTTCTTAATGTTCTCAGAACAATTTAAGCACATTACTTTAAATAGAACCATGAGGAAACGTGGAGGAAACGTTATGCTGAAGTACTGAAATTCCCACCTAAGAAACATATGGTTCTCAGAATGTTATATGCTAGCTGGGTATCCTGCGCCATTCCCAGAAGCTGTGTAAAGGTTTCATGCTAAATAACCATAGGACAACCAATCTCACCAAACGTTAAGTCGCGTTAAGGCCGCGTTAAGATATTGACTCAGAGGCAGACCAAGCCCTGCTCAGGTAATACCTCCCATCCTTTCTAAGCGTTATCGTCGTATTGTTGTCTATACTGCCATTTGTAATCTTGCACCAATTCGTTTGAACTCCACTCGTAGATCTGCTACTGTTAGCTCAAAAGAGAAGCCCACTATGGTCTGTTCACCCAGTACTTTTAGTTCAAATGTGAATTCCATAAACTTGAATACCCCCTTGGTTTTCAAATCACATAGAGGGTTGGGTTGTTGCACGCTAGTATACAAAGCCTAGTTTGTTGTCTTCTTTTATTAAATCAGAAGTTATTATCCTGGGTGACCTAAATTATGATTGGGAAATGCAGGCTTCAGACAATCTAAAATATATGTGTAATGATCTAAACCTAACCCAGCTGGTGACCTACACGGCCCAACCATAAAGATCCTTGAAAGTCAACTCTGATTGATCTTATTTTAACGAATACACCAGAGAAATATGTTTCTACTGGTGTCTTCACCCAAGACATTAGTGACCATTGCCCAGTTGTTAGAAAAAATGTAAGTATTGTGTCATCACAAAGACAAATTTGAAAAACTTCAGTGAACAGGCTTTTTTACATTATCTTTATTTTAATGACATTGATTGTATTTCAGCTATCCCTGAATCTGATTTAGCTTTGAGACTTTTTGCAGATGTTTTCAATACTATTGTGGATAATCATACTCCATTCAAAAAATGAAGGGTTAAAGGTAGATCGATTGCCTGGTTCACTCTGGAATTATCAGAAGTCATTCAAAAAATAGATGATGCTTGGGTCAAGGCCAGGAACACAGTCTTAGGCATGGACTGCCAAGCTTTTAAGCAACTGAGGAATCATTGTGTAAGACAAATCAGAAAGGCTAAATCTGATTATTATGTAACCGCTCTTTCGGATTGTAATGAGAACCTGGCAAAATTCTAGAAAACTGTCAAATCCCTGAAGGGTTCTATTTCCTCCTCTCTGTTACAACAAATTCATTCAGACACTGGCCTCATTATGAGAAAAAATGCCATTATTGATGCATTTAATCACCATTTTCTTTTGGCGGGCTATCTCCTTGAAAGAACTTCTAAGCCTATTCACAATGATAATGGGCTGGACTGGAATGCTGATAGGGGAAACTTGCTGAATGATCAGAGAAATGACAATCAAAGCTTTTCTTTTAGGTTATTTACAGAAAAAGAAATCCTGGATGCTTTGCTAGCAATAGACAACAAGAAATCCACAGGGGCCGACCAATTGGATCCTGGTCTGCTTAAGTGTGCAGCGCCCATCATTGTTGGCTCAATAACCCACATTTTTTATTTATCGTTGCTATCAGGAAATATTCCAAAAGCATGGAAATCAGCTCTTGTGCTGCCACTCCATAAGGGCGGGGATAGTAGTGATCTTGATAAATATCACACCATTTCAAGGCTTCCTTGTCTAGCCAAGATTCTTGAATCCTTGGTAAATGTACAACTTTGCTCTTTTTTTTCTTCTGAGAAATGTATTTTGAATGTAAACCAATCAACGTTTAGGCCTGGGTATAGCACTATTACAGCAACCACTTTAGTTGTTAATGATCTTGTCAATGCTTTAAACACTAAAATGAAATGTGCTGCTTTGTTTGTGGACCTGTCAAAAGCTTTTGATACTGTTGATCATGCTATTTTATTGAATATGTTGTCCTCGATAGGCCTGAGCTCTGACGCCTGTTCATGGTTTCATTATGATCTCAGGCCATCGTGATTGATGGGGTTAAGTCTGAATTTCTTGAAGTACCACAGGGGTCGTACCACAGGGTCGATTTTGGGACCTGTTCTCTTCACTACTTATATCAAATCCATTGGTCAATCTGTAAAAAAATTGTAAACTCCATCTATATACGGATGATACAATTATGTATATTATTGCCCCGACTGTTGATCAAAACTACAGTCAGATTTTATAGCTATGCAGGAATCCCTTGGTGATTTAAAACTTGTGCTTAATAAAGGCAAAACTAAATACATTTAGTTTTTGCACTCTCGTAAGAATGTTTCAGATGAACTACAGTGGGGGAAAAAAGTATTTAGTCAGCCACCAATTGTGCAAGTTCTCCCACTTAAAAAGATGAGAGAGGCCTGTAATTTTCATCATAGGTACACATCAACTATGACAGACAAATTGACATTTTTTTTCTCCAGAAAATCACATTGTAGGATTTTTTATGAATTTATTTGCAAATTATGGTGGAAAATAAATATTTGGTCACCTACAAACAAGCAAGATTTCTGGCTCTCACAGACCTGTAACTTCTTCTTTAAGAGGCTCCTCTGTCCTCCACTCGTTACCTGTATTAACGGCACCTGTTTGAACTTGTTATCAGTATAAAAGACACCTGTCCACAACCTCAAACAGTCACACTCCAAACTCCACTATGGCCAAGACCAAAGAGCTGTCAAAGGACACCAGAAACAAAATTGTAGACCTGCACCAGGCTGGGAAGACTGAATCTGCAATAGGTAAGCAGCTTGGTTTGAAGAAATCAACTGTGGGAGCAATTATTAGGAAATGGAAGACATACAAGACCACTGATAATCTCCCTCGATCTGGGGCTCCACGCAAGATCTCACCCCGTGGGGTCAAAATGATCACAAGAACGGTGAGCAAAAATCCCAGAACCACACAGGGGGACCTAGTGAATGACCTGCAGAGAGCTGGGACCAAAGTAACAAAGCCTACCATCAGTAACACACTACGCCGCTAGGGACTCAAATCCTGCAGTGCCAGACGTGTCCCCCTGCTTAAGCTAGTACATGTCCAGGCCCGTCTGAAGTTTGCTAGAGTGCATTTGGATGATCCAGAAGAGGATTGGGAGAATGTCATATGGTCAGATGAAACCAAAATAGAACTTTTTGGTAAAAACTCAACTTGTCGTGTTTGGAGGACAAAGAATGCTGAGTTGCATCTAAAGAACACCATACCTACTGTGAAGCATGGGGGTGGAAACATCATGCTTTGGGGCTGTTTTTCTGCAAAGGGACCAGGACGACTGATCCGTGTAAAGGAAAGAATGAATGGGGCCATGTATCGTGAGATTTTGAGTGAAAACCTCCTTCCATCAGCAAGGGCATTGAAGATGAAACGTGGCTGGGTTTTTCAGCATGACAATGATCCCAAACACACCGCCCGGGCAACGAAGGAGTGGCTTTGTAAGAAGCATTTCAAGGTCCTGGAGTGGCCTAGCCAGTCTCCAGATCTCAACCCCATAGAAAATCTTTGGAGGGAGTTGAAAGTCCGTGTTGCCCAGCGACAGCCCCAAAACATCACTGCTCTAGAGGAGATCTGCATGGAAGAATGGGCCAAAATACCAGCAACAGTGTGTGAAAACCTTGTGAAGCCTTTTTTTTTTTTTTTTTTTTTCATAATTTTTTCTTTTCTTGTTATTTTTTATATTTTTATTCTTTGGGAATGGATCAGCTTAATATTGCAGATAGATTGTGTCTTCTATCAATGTAATTGTCTGCATCACTTCCAATCCCCCATGTCTTTTTCTATTTTTTACATATATACTCCCCTATATTACTTTTCAACCCCACCATCCTTTCCCTACTTGGAGTAAATTAGTGAACAACAATGCCCACTAATTTGGAACCTTGTGAAGACTTACAGAAAACGTTTGACCTGTGTCATTGCCAACAAAGGGTATATAACAAAGTATTGAGAAACTTTTCTTATTGACCAAATACTTATTTTCCACCATAATTTGCAAATAAATTCATTAAAAATCCTACAATGTGATTTTCTGGATTATTTTTTCTCATTTTGTCTGTCATAGTTGACGTGTATCTATGATGAAAATTACAGGCCTCTCTTAAGTGGGAGAACTTGCACAATTGGTGGCTGACTAAATACTTTTTTTCCCCACTGTACATGTTCACTCATTAGATGGTTCTCCAATCAAATGTGTTCCCACATATAAATACTGTACTTAGGCATTTGGATTGATATGGATTTGACATTTAAAAAACATATAGATGAGCTGGTTAAGAAGCTAAGATTGAAAGTTGGCTTTTTCTGAGTTGCCTAACCCGTTCACAGGATTGGTGAACTCTTGAGGTTCCTAGGGTCTCCACCGAGCTAGGTACATCTGATTTAAGTTTTAATGCACCGTTTTGCTGGATTATGTCTCTCTCACCTCATTGAATCTTGTGACCAGGTCCTCTACAGCATTGTGGGGCCGTCTGCAGCCAGCCATAAGATGGGGTTGTACAGGTTGGTGTGTCTGCCCCTGGGGATGTGGCTGATCAGGGCCCCCCAGGTCGAGGGTGAGGAAACAGAGGTAGTCCAGGGGTAAGATCCGGCTGTAGAGATGCAGCTCCTGCTCCATGAGGACGTAGGCCATCTCCTCCGGGAAACTGACCAGGGGACGGAGGTCAGACAGCTCCTTGTTGACCTCCGTCAGCGGAGCTGCCGGCACCACGCTGGACCCCGCCATCGGGGAGTGCAGCTGGCGCTCTGAGGGGGAGGGAGGAAATAGGGAATAAGGAGAGGGAGGGAGAAGGGAGAAGGGTGAAGGAGGAAGGATGAGGGAGGGGAGGGTGAGTCAAGAGGGAGTTAAGACGGGAGGAAAATACTGTAGATTGTTTCTGAATTCCAACTTGTCCCCTAGCCCCTACTCATAGACACTTCATGTAGAACTGGATGGATCAGATAAGTTTAAGCAAAATGGTTATAGTTCTATCCTACTCTCTGATAAGACAGGTAGTATTTTAACCACATTTGATTAATATACATTTCATATGATTTATTATGTAAGCTGAGTTGATTCAATACGTAATCAACTTGAATTTCATAAGATTCATATTGGTTTTTGGGACCTTTCAGGACAGCCCAGCCCAAGGGACTTGTGGTGATACAGGGAGGAGAGTCGTTGTCTCCCCTGTTACCGATGGACAGAACCACTTCCAGGAGGGTTCCTGAAATGTAGGCAGAAACGTCAGTCCTCTGTAGGGTTGCTCGGTAGCTAGACACCCCTCCCCCTCCCGGCCATGGCAATGTGGCCCTCCTACGACACAGATCCCTCCTCTCGGCAGACGTTAGCAGCTTCCTGGAAGACAGGAGTAGCTCTCCTGATCTGGCCACCCTTACTTCAGCACTCAGAGCATGGCATGCCTGGGAAGACAGAGGAAGATACAGAGTCGTGTTCAGTAAGGCAAAATGTTTTGCTACGGAAAACAATTATCTTTGTTCTCATTGGACAAGTTCAGGTAGTAGTCCCTAAATGTTAAAACCTTTTCTCCCTACTGAACACAATCCAGGCATGTCATCACCTAATCACACCCATAAAAGGCATACAGTAGCTTTTCTCATAAAAGGTGCTATTATAACACTGTGTGTGTGTGCCTATTCCCCCTCAGGAGACTGAAAAGATTTGGAAGGGGTCCTCAGATCCTCAAACAGTTCTACAGCTGCACCATAAAGAGCATCCTGACTGGTTGCATCACCGCCTGGTTTGGCAACTGTTCGGCATCCGACCACAAGGCACTACAGAAGGTAGTGCGTACGGCCCAGCCAGTACATCACTGGGACCGAGTTTCCTGCCATCCAGGACCTCTATACCAGGCGGTGTCAGAGGAAGGCCCTAAAAATTGTTAAAGACGCCAGCCACCCTAGTCATAGACTGTTCTCTCTGCTACTGTACTGCAAACGGGACCGGAGTGCCAAGTCTAGGTCCAAAAGGCTCCTTAACAGCTTCTACCCCAAAACCATAAAACTGCTGAACAGTTAATAAAATGGCTACCCGGACTATTTGAATTGACCCCCCCTTTTTTACGCTGCTGCTACTCTATGCATAGTCACTTTACCCCTACCTACATGTACATACAGTGGCTTGCGAAATTATTCACCCCCCTTGGCATTTTTCCTATTTTGTTGCCTTACAACCTGAAATTAAAATGGATTTTTGGTGGGTTTGCATCATTTGATTTACACACATGCCTACCACTTTGAAGATGCAAAATATTTTTTTTTGTGAAACAAACAAGAAATAAGACAAAAAAAAAACGAAAACTTGAACGTGCATAGATGGTGGAAAAAGTACCCAATTCTCATACTTCAGTAAAAGTAAAGATACCTTAATAGAAAATGACTTTTAAAAATATACTTAAGTATCAAAAGTAAAAGTAAAAGTATGAATAATTTCTAATTCCTTACATTAAGCAAACCAGACGGCACAATTTGTATATGTATTATTTATTTACGGATAGCCAGGGGCACACACCAGAGATGTTCTCTTGATAAGTGTGTGAATTGGACCATTTTCCTGTCCTGCTAAGCATTAAAAATGTAATGAGTATTAAGTACATTATTTATTTTGGAATGTAGTGAAGTAAAAGTTGTCAAAAATATAAATAGTAAAGTAAAGTACAGATTAAGTAGTACTTTAAAGTATTTTTACTTAAGTACTTTACACCACTGGCTGTAGGTAAACCCTCTGCTCCTCTAAAAAATTGTGAATGAAGTCATCTTTATGCGACATCTTTTTGAGTGCGAACCCATCACAACTTTTTGCTTATCTAAACCCTCTGAACCTGGGAATTTGGTTTTTTGATGTTTTTTCTTGTTTGATAAGGATCTGAACTTTGGGATCTTTGAGATGTTCTGTCTGTAAACCACCACCACCCCTCCCCATGACTTATACCCCCTGTGGCTGTTAGCCAGTATGGGGAAAGATGAGAGGAAGGTCAGGAGTTAGGATTGGTGCCCAGGAAAGTAACACCCATGGAAGGCCCCCACCACCACAGCCCCTCCCCAACTGTGTCTGTTATCCAGTATTGGGAGAGAGAGAGGAGAAAGGGAGCAACCCCCTACCACCACCATCACCACCCCTCCTCAGGACCACTAGCCCCCACCCTCCACCAACCCTCCGTAGGACCACCCCCCTGCCCAGGACATACAGCCCGCACCCCACCACCACCCCTCCCCAGCCCCTTTTGGCTGTTAGTCAGTATGGGGAGAGAGGAGAGAGAGAGGAGACAGGGGTGCGGATCCAGCTGGCAGAGCCTAACAGACATTGTGCTTTAGCTAAACCAAATATTTACTCCCTGGAGTCGAATATTCAGAAATTATATTCACATCATCCTCACAGCACTTTATCCTCCTTCGGTTCCTTTAAAGGGTATGGAACTCATAGTCATAAATTATATTATTCTCTTCAACACATGAATGAACACACTAATGAACAGACGCATGCATGCACCAGACACACACACACGCGTTTGTTCATTCTTCAGATGACGCAGATGCTAAGCTACAGGACTGTTTTGCTAGCACAGACTGGAACATGTTCCGGGATTCTTCAGATAGCATTGAGGAGTACACCACATCAGTCACTGGCTTCATCAATAAGTGCATCGATGATGTTGTCCCCACAGTGACCGTACGTACATACCCCAACCAGAAGCCATGGATTACAGGAAACATCCGCACTGAGCTAAAGGGTAGAGCTGCCGCTTTCAAGGAGCGGGACTCTAACCCGGACGCTTATAAGAAATCCCGCTATGCCCTCCGATGAACCATCAAACAGGCAAAGAGTCAATACAGGACTAAGATTGAATCGTACTACACTGGCTCTGATGCTCGTCGGATGTGGTAGGGCTTGAAAACTATTACAGACTACAAAGGGAAGCACAGCCGCGAGCTGCCCAGTGACACAAGACTTCCAGACGAGCTAAACCACTTCTATGCTCGCTTCGAGGCAAGCAACACTGAAGCATGCATGAGAGCACCAGCTGTTCCGGATGACTATGTGATCACGCTCTTCATAGCCGATGTGAGTAAGACTTTTAAGCAGGTCAACATTCACAAGGCCGCAGGGCCAGACGGATTACCAGGACGTGTACTCCGAGCATGTGCTGACCAACTGGCAAGTGTCTTCACTGACATTTTCAACATGTCCCTGACTGAGTCTGTAATACCAACTTGTTTCAAGCAGACCTTCATAGTCCCCGTGCCCAAGGACTCTAAGATAACCTGCCTAAATGACTACCGACCCGTAGCACTGATGTCTGTAGCCATGAAGTGCTTTGAAAGGCTGGTCATGGCTCACATCAACAGCATTATCCCAGAAACCCTAGACCCACTCCAATTTGCATACCGCCCCAACAGATCCACAGATGATGCAATCTCTATTGCACTCCACACTGCCCTTTCCCACCTGGACAAGAGGAACACCTACGTGAGAATGCTATTCATTGACTACAGCTCAGCATTCAACACCATAGTGCCCTCAAAGCTCATCACTAAGCTAAGGATCCTGAGACTAAACACCTCCCTCTGCAACTGGATCCTGGACTTCCTGACGGGCCACCCCCAGGTGGTAAGGGTAGGTAACAACACATCTGCCACACTGATCCTCAACACGGGGGCCCCTCAGGGGTGCGTGCTCAGTCCCCTCCTGTACTCCCTGTTCACCCATGATTGCATGGCCAGGCACGAATCCAACACCATCATTAAGTTTGCCGACGTCACAACAGTGGTAGGCCTGATCACCGACAACGATGAGACAGCCTATAGGGAGGAGGTCAGAGACCTGGCCGTGTGGTGCCAGGATAACAACCTCTCCCTCAACGTGACCAAGACAAAGGAGATGATTGTGGACTACAGGAAAAAAAAGAGGACTGAGCACGCCCCCATTCTCATCGACGGGGCTGTAGTGGAACAGGTTGAGAGCTTCAAGTTCCTTGGTGTCCACATCACCAACGAACTATCATGGTCCAAACACACCAAGACAGTCGTGAAGAGGGCACGACAAAGCCTATTCCCCCTCAGGAGACTGAAAAGATTTGGCATGGGTCCTCAGATCCTCAAAAAATTCTACAGCTGCACCATCGAGAGCATCCTGACTGGTTGCATCACCACCTGGTATGGCAACTGCTTGGCCTCCGACCGCAAGGCACTACAGAGGGTAGTGCATACGGCCCAGTACATCACTGGGGCCAAGCTTCCTGCCATCCAGGACCTCTATACCAGGCGGTGTCAGAGGAAGGCCCTCAAAATTGTCAAAGACTCCAGCCACCCTAGTCATAGACTGTTCTCTCTGCTACCGCACGGCAAGCGGTACCGGAGTGCCAAGTCTAGGTCCAAAAGACTTCTCAACAGCTTCTACCCCCAAGCCATAAGACTCCTGAACAGCTAATCATGGCTACCCAGACTATTTGCACTGCCCCCCCCCCACCCCATCCTTTTACGCTGTTGCTACTCTGTTAATTATTTATGCATAGTCACTTTAACTCTACCCACATGTACATATTACTTCAACTACCTCAACTAGCCGGTGCCCCGCACATTGACTCTGCACCGGTACCCCCCTGTATATATAGCCTCCCTACTGTTATTTTATTTTACTTCTGCTCTTTTTTTCTCAACACTTTTTTTGTTGTTGTTTTTTAAAACTTTTTTGTTAAAAATAAATGCACTGTTGGTTAAGGGCTGTAAGTAAGCATTTCACTGTAATGTCTGCACCTGTTGTATTCGGCGCATGTGGCCAATACAATTTGATTTGATTTGATTTGATTCTTCCATACTCCATACTTCTATACCTATGTGCAGATATCATACACAGCAGGGTGTCTTCTTGCTTACAGACATAAAACAAATATGTGCCCTCCCTTGAGACATGGCTACATTGGTAAGAGTCAATAGCATCAGTCTTGACAGATTTGAACTGTGTTGTTGTTGATTTCTGTAACCCGGAGGTTGCCCCAGCCAATTATGTATGATGACAGTGTTTCCCCTAGGATTCTTTTCAGCAGTGGTGGCAAGGGTGGGGTGCATTACTACTAGCATTAGCGCAATTACATGCTAGCTGTTCCCATAGACTTCCAGTCTTTGCGCAAACGACTATTCATTTAGTCAATATAATAATATATATATTTAAAAAATTGCATCATATTTTATGCAGCGTTGGCAACAATTTAGCAGCGGTGAGCAATGAATATAGGGGAAACACTGTATGATGATGTCCTATTTCCAGTCTACCTTTGACACAGTTAGCACATTTTTTCTAGCCTCGTCCCAGACTCCCAGTTCTGTCTGCGCTGTCTTGCCAGTGACCAACGACCATAGGAGTTGGCAAGACAGCACAAACAGATTTGAGACCAGGCTGTGCATCATTTAGTTTAGCCTACCGACTGTATCATCTGAATGCTCAAGTGACTTACTCTTTCCTCCAGCACTCTCTATGGCATGCATCTCAGGTCTGGAGAGCGTCAGTACTGACTAAATATTTTGTTTTCCAGGACGTGTACATCCCCTTGCCTGGACTGGCCTGGCCCGGCCTCCATCCTTATCAAGGATCAATCAGCCATGTTTAGACAGTCTGATACCTGCACAGCTCCACCGGCTCCACAGCCACATGCTTCATCAAACTCTGGGTCATGTGCATTAGGCACCAAACGGAAGAAAACTGACAAAAACAGGGAGGGACTATACCTGAGGGGTATACTACAAAGTGGGTTCAAAAACTTAGCCAGCTAATTTGCCTAAATATTCTGAAATAACCTTTTATTTTTTAGAAAGATAAGCTTGAAATGGCCATGGTCTAATAGACTCGACAACCGAAATAACATATCTAAGTTTAGCTTTGAACCAGAAAATCAATTGTTATTTCTGGTTGTTTATCAGCCCCCAATAAGAACAGCTTATTTTTGTTTTCCGTATTTTAAAAAATCAAAACGTTTTGCCCTAATGAATATGACCCAGCAAGCGCTGGGCTGGATCAGAGGCCTCCACAGACGTTGGGAGAATGGCCATCAATGGACCTCATTTGTCAAATGGTTGTATGGTAAAATCTGGTCATTCTCACTCAAAGCTCAGGATTTTGGTCGATTTGAACATGATCATAGGGTGCATCTCAATTGTCTATAGTCAATCAATCAATCAAATGTATTTATAAAGCCCTTTTTACATCAGCAGATGTCACGAAGTGCTATGCAGAAACCCAGCCTAAAACCCCAAACAGCAAGCAATGCAGATGTAGATGCACGGTGGCTAGGAAAAACTCCCTAGAAAGGCAGGAACCTAGGTAGAAACCTAGAGAGGAACCAGGCTCTGAGGGGTGGCCAGTCCTCTTCTGGCTGTGCCAGGTGGCGATTACAAGAGTACATGGCCATTTAAGGCCAGATTGTTCTTCAAGATGTTCAAATGTTCATAGATGACCAGCAGGGTCAAATAATAATCACAGTGGTTGTAGAGGGTGCAACAGGTCAGTACCTCAGGAGTAAATGTCAGTTGGCTTTTCATAGCCGAGCATTCAGAGGACGAGACAGCAGGTGTGGTAGAGAGAGAGAGAAAGTCGAAAACAGCAGGTCCTGGACAAGGTAGCACGTCTGGTGAACAGGTCAGGGTTCCCTAGCCGCAGGAAGGCTTCCTCTCCTCATCCACTCTCCCTTCATTATGTGCTGATCATGGGGAAGGTGAGAGCGATATGGTAGAAGAAGCCTTAGTATTTGCATATACCAGTGCAGTTCTTTCATATCAGAGCAGGTGAAGGTAGGAGATGAGGAGAGAAAGCCTTGGTTATTGAGCTGCACACACAGTGTTGTTATATGTGGTTTTGTAAATTTGTAAAGTTTCAATATTTAAAAAAAGAAGGTGAGTTGTAGTCCTACTTTCCATTCAGCTTGTTGCTAGTACTTGTACAATGATTTCTAGGCCTAAACCAATAAAAAAAACATTCTCTCTCAAATAGTAATAACTGTTTATTACCATTTGTCTTTAAATTACTGATAAACTCTACGAACCCTTTAGAAATGTTACATTCATTTTAAGTGTTACTCAAATACCTTTCATATATTAAATTTAAACTCATGTAGTCAGTTTATACATTTATATCTGTTTAAATTAAACAGAACACATACTGTATGTTTAGTCTAGTGGGATGAGAGAGAACACCCTACTACATTTTATAAATTGTGCAAGGTTGCTGCAGAAGTTGGCCATGGACCGGACACTTACTCCATAGGAATACAATCTATACATTGGCTAGAAATTAGGATTGAAGTAACTATTCTGCCATATTACACCAAACCAGGGGTACACATCCCTCTGCAATAGAATCTTGTTAAGGTTTTTGGTATCTTCGAGGCTGGCGTGAGGAAAACTCTCAAAAGAGTGAATACTCACAAAGCCGCCGGCCCCGATGACATCCCTGGCCGTGTCCTCAGGGTGTGTGCTGACCAGCTGGCGGGCGTCTTTTCGGACAACTTCAACCTGTCCCAGGCTGTAGTCCCCTCCTGCTTCAAGGAGACCACCATCGTCCCCGTGCCCAAGAAAACCAAGATGATATGCCCAAATGACTATCGCCCTGTCGCACTCACCCCGGTCATCATGAAGTGCTTCAAGAGGCTGGTCATGGCCCACATCAAGGCCAGCATGCCAGGCACACTGGACCCACTCCAATTTGCCTACCACTCCATAGAAGATGCCATTTCCTTCATTATTCACACAGCCGTAACGCATCTGGACAAGAGGAACACCTATGTGAGAATGCTGTTCATTGAATACAGTTAAGCATTCAACACTATTGTTCCCTCCAACCTCGACAACAAGTTCAGAGCCCTGGGTCTGGACACCACTCTATGCAACTGGATCCTGTACTTCCTGACAGGCAGACCACAGGCTGTCAGGACTAGCAACAACACCTCCTCCACACTGACTCTTAACACAGGGGGCCCCCAGGGGTGTCCCTCTGCTGAGTGGCATTGCGCGACGCTAACTCCTTCATCAAGTTTGCTGACGACACCACGGTTGTAGGCCTGATAAGAAAACAATGATGAGTCAGCCTATAGGGAGGAGGTATGTGAACTGGCATTGTGGTGCCAAGACAACAACCTCTCCCTCAACGTCAGCTGTTCACTCCCTTGCCGTTGGGCAGACGGTATCGGAGCATTTGGTCTGATACCAACAGGCTCAGAGACAGTTTCTATCTACAAGCAATCAGACTGCTGAACACTTGAACTGGACCGACCACCTGCATTGACTCTCTGCACCTTAGCACACATGCACTAACTCACGCACTCATCCACACAGATATATACTCATCAACACACTCATCCACACATATACACACACACACCCCACACACACACACCCCTTCCCCATAACATATATAAATATTGGACTATAAATTGTGTCTTTCTGTATAATACTCATGCTAAAATGTTTATTATATTCTACTGAGCCATTTACTTTATGTTCGTATTCTTATCTTTTATTATTTCTTATTGTTGCATTGTCGAGAAGAAATCTGCAAGTAAGCATTTAGTTGGACAGTGTATACCATGTGTATCCTGTACATACAACTAAAAAAACGTGAAACTTCAGCCATCCATAGAGCCTTCAATAGACTATAATACTGCAGCTCTTGTAACAAGGATGCATGTACTGTATGTTTTCTAATGAAACCACCTGAAATGATAGTTGACAAGAACATGTATGGAACCCTTGCAACACTGTCATGAGCAACTGTAATAAGCAACGCTATGCCTATGTCTGGTAGGGTTTTACAAAACAGTTGATCAGTATCAAGGTTCTCGGATTACGCTCCAGCCGTCTGAAGACCGACAAATAGGACCCACATTTACCATCAGAAAGACAATCAAACTCTAATTCGAGCGATCCCCACTGATATGGATAGCAAAGATGATAGTATGCATGGTTTGGTAGAAATGTTACTAAAGTACTAGTGCTACTGCTTTCTTTGAATAAACCATCTGAAAAAATGAGAAAATATATTCTGACTTACATTAGAAGATCATGCCTAATGTGATACAGCCTCCAAAATTGGTGAAAGTCAGTAAATCCGCAATAGTCATGTCATGTCCGTATGTTCCAGTTTGTAGTGGGAGAGGAAGAGAGGAGAGAGATCTGTTTGAGACAGAAGAGAGAGAGCATGTCTGAAACGAGAGAGAGAGAGAGAGAGAGAGAGAGAGAGAGAGAGAGAGAGAGAGAGAGAGAGAGAGAGAGAGAGTGTTTTGGGACAGCTCCCCTTATATGGTTAGGGAGACTGGGCATTAGTAAGAGGAGGTATTAGGAAAATAACATTACATTTATATGTAAAACACACAACACTGTCTCTCATCTCCTACTGTAAACCACTACAGTGACTGCATACCCAGTATTAGCCACTGTGATGTAATTCACCAATGACTCTACTGTGGGCTCATTCAATAGCTCTCTCTCTCTCTTGCTCTCTCTTTTTCTCTCTCTCTCTCTCTCTCATTAGGGTGATGGAAAATGGAAAGCGTTGCAGATAGATAGAAATATGAAACATAGACTAATTACAGTTCTCAGTTCTGTATTAAAAACAGCCAGGTCTTTTCAATACAATGTTGTTGTTTTTTTTACCTGCAATGGTCTGATGTCAGGAGTTGATACGAGATGCCTTGGGCTTCAACTAAAATATACAGGGAGAAAATGGTCACAGCTCATCAGCCCTGGGCAGAAAATAGTTGTATTGTTTTGTTTATTTGAAAATACCAACTTTTCAAATACTCAAGGTAGTCGAATATAATTTATATAGAGTTTAAACTAAAAGGCAACTATTTTCTTTGATATTCAAATACAGGTCTCAGAAAATGTTGAATACCTCTCAGAAAACCGAATAATATTTGAAGGTATTTGAGAGCGTGATTACATAGTCATCCGGAACAGCTGATGCTCTCATGCATGTTTCAGTGTTGCTTGCCTCGAAGCAAGCATAGAAGTGATTTAGCTCGTCTGGTAGGCTTGTGTCACTGGGCAGCTCGCGGCTGTGCTTCTTTTTGTAGTCTGTAATAGTTTTCAAGCCCTGCCACATAGACAAAGGGATTGAAGTTGTTTTTGCTAAGCATCCAACTTACTGTTTACAACATTTGCAAATGGCTTTGAATTACTCTGCAGTGTTTTCAGGTATCATAAAATTAATTGCAGCTTTCAACCTTTTCAGTTGCATGTTGAAAGAGTCACACAGTAGTTGAGCTTCACAACTTATTTATACTTATCTGTACAAAATATCATTGGTTAATTGGTTTGACTTTAAAATGTAAACCTGGGGCAATGGACATTCAAAAGTAGTTACTTCCTGAGATCTGTATTCAAATATATTTGTTTAAGTAGTTGCTTTCTCAGATCTGTATTCAAAAGTTATTATCATCTCTAAAGTAAGTGTCACACCCTGGCTCTGGGACTCATTATGTTGAGCCAGGGTGTGTTCATTCTATGTTTTCTGTTTCTATGTTGGGTGTTCTAGGTTGTTTATTTCTATGTTTGACTGAGTGACTCCCAATCAGAGGCAACGAGTGTCAGCTGTGTGCTGGTTGTCTCTGATTGGGAGCCATATTTAACTGTCTGTGTTTCACTTTGTGGTTGTGGGTTTTTGTTCCGTGTTCGGTCATTGTCACTGAGGACTTCACGAGTCGTTTATTGTTTTGTTATTTCGTGTGTATGCTTTAATTAAATAAAGCAAGTATGTTCGCAACTAACGCTGCGCTTTGGTCCACTCCTTCATACGACGTTCGTGACAGTAAGTATTTGTTCCCCAGAAAAAAATGCTACTTTCCACAAAGCACAGTTAAAACCAGGGGCGCAACTTTCACTGGGGGACATGTTTAAGTAGTTGCTTTCTCAGGTCTGTATTCAAAGAGTTATTATCACCTCCAAAGTAAGTATTTGTTCCCCAGAAAAAAATGCTACTTTCCACAAAGCATAGTTAAAACCAGGGGCGCAACTTTCACTGGGGGACATGAAACTGTATTTTTGTCCCCCCCAGTTTTATTTACATTTTAGTCATTTAGTAAGACGCTCTTATCCAGATCGACTTACAGTTATTGAGTGCATACATTTTCTTTTCATACTGGCCCCCCATGGGAAACGAACCCACAACCCTGGCGTTGCAAGCGTCATGCTCTACCAACTGAGCTACACGGGATTACATTTGATCATTAGAATGTGATACAAAACGAGGCAACGGTGTGCTTTAGAACCATGCGAACACCTCCAAGAGGTCGGGTAGGCTGTTTGGAGTGTTTATCCTACAGGATAAAACATTTTTATGTCCCCCCCACTTCTAAAACCAAAGTTGCGACCCTGGTTACAACTATAGTTATCCCAGGTCTGCAGCTCATAGACATATGCCTACATCTTTCATATCATATTGTAAATACATTTGATCCCAATGTATTTCAAAACCAAGACAGCAATGTTTTTTGCCACACAGCCATTCTACGAAAGGCTGCAGTTTGGGTGATGAGTGAAAATCTCTTTACTATATAAACAAAGCCTTATGTTAACGCATTGGTTGGCAGTTAGTGCACTCAAGACACACACAGGACATGCACACACACACACACACACACGCACGTACGCATGCACACAAAGTTACCAATCACAATTGTTTATTCAATTGCCTAGCTGTTATTTTCAATGGCAATGTTTTCTTTCACAGAATTTTCCCTAATAATTCCCTGAATTGTCCTTAACCCTGACCCACAGTTAAAAGTTTTATGTAACAAGTGTTGTGTTTTCTATGAGTTCAGCCAACCCTAAAATTACCTATTTTAACCTTGATCACTTGCTTACTGACACAGATTCTGGCATTATTTTCTACAGAAACGACTTAACAAGGATCTTAAAGTCTTATTTTCTGCTGAGACCATGGTGGTTTAGTACAAATCAGTGGAAGCTGGTGGGAGGAGCTATAGGAGGGCAGGCTCATTATAATGGCTGGAATGGAATTAATGGAACCGTATCAAACACATCAAACATATGGAAACCACATGTTTGACTCCGTTCCATCTATTCCATTCCAGCCATTATAATGAGCCCGTCCTCCTATAGCTCCTCCTACCAGCCTCCTCCGGTACAAATACCTATTGTATAAAAATAGTTGGAGTTAATTCAATTTCCATGGCTGCCAGTTAAATCTCTACCCACATGTACATGTACATATTACCTCAACTACCTCAACTAGCTGGTTCCCCCGCACATTGACTCTGCACCGGTACTCCCTTGTATATAGCCTCCCTACTGTTATTATATTTTACTTCTGCTCTTTTTTTCTCAACACTTTTTTGTTGTTGTTGTTTTATTGTACTTTTTTATTAAAAAATAAATGCATTTTTGGTTAAGGGCTGTAAGTAAGCATTTCATGGTAATGTCTACACCTGTTGTATTCGGCGCATGTAGCAAATACAATTTGATTTGATTTGATTTAAATCAGCCATATAATTTATTTTCAAAGGAGTGCAATTAATTTACCAGAATTAGATTGAAACGTTATTGCCCAAATTCAACTAATAAAGTATTGATTGCAGACTATTATTTATTGATAAGTTGAATCAGTTGTGTTATTGCTTTGACTGGAGCAAACAGCAGTGTTTTCCAGATAAGATTGGACACTTCTCTGTTCCAAGGGTTCGAGTGAGCATACCAATATGTATCTTACCACTAGGTGGCAGTATAATCCCCTGTATTGTTACCTGCAGGGTAGAGTCTATTGCCGCTGCAGAATTAGTACTGAATGAGGTCTGCAGATTGTTTCTATCTCAGATTGCCACTTTAAAGCACCATAACCCATCTGCGTTTATGCCACTCCTCATCACCCTCTTTATGAATGTACTCATAAACTATTTATTGTGTTATATTAACTTTACATACATACACAATTATTGAGGATAAAAACAAAATATTTCCATTATGGTTCTGGAAAAATAAATGTATTCGAAATCAATACAGACATCACCATCACCAGTTCTCTCTAATCATCCTAATCTCAGCGGTTCTTCTTTCCATACAGGCTATGAATGCTTTGACCTGCTCTGGGTCTACCAGCCAAACCATTAACACAGTATGGACCAATAAGTAGGCTAAGTATGTAGGTTATTCCTTTCATTTCCCCTGAAGCTTGTTGTTTTTGACTCGGCAGCACCTTAAAAACAAACTCTGGAGGGTGTGTGCTTTGTTTTCCATTGACTTTATTTGTTTCTCATGGTTGAGACTGTAACCATCTGCCAAGTGATTGTGATGTAATGGTGTAGCCTAACTTTTCCATTGGGTGTGTACCCACTGGAGCAGAGCAGCAATCCCAGACCCTCTTGCTGCATCTCAAATGACACCCTATTCCCTATATAGTGCACTACTTTTGACCATAAAGCTTTGTTGAAAAGTAATGCACTATATGGAATGAGGTGCTTTTGAGACGCACCCTCTATAATACAGGCCTCTAGTGTTCTACTTAACTTAACCACCCCTCCCCTCTGCTCTCCTACCCAGCTGCCCCAACCCCCATTTCCCCTGCAGCTCTGTGAGTTTTGGCTCACACTGCTCTCTGTATGTAGTAACTATTACATACTGTAGCAGGGGTTTTCACAGTCCAGTGTAGTCTAGGGCTTTTCCAAATTAGATTTTAAACTAAAAGTGACACCGTTTTGCTCAATGGAACCATGAATGCTGTGTGTTTGTTCTTACCTCAAAAAATATGTCTTTTTTTCCAAGGAGAGGTTTACACGCTTGCAGATGTAGACTCTGAGAGGTTGAACTGTGTCCACTGTATCCACTCAAGCGACTGTATTTACTAGGCCCAAAGAAATGGTCCCTTCTGCAGACAGCGTCCCACACCTCCTCATTGATCCTCCACGAGGGTAATGTCCTGATGATAGCCCTAGTTCCTGTACACACAGACTTCTTCACCCTCTGGTTATCCCTCAAGAACCTACGGACCAGGACCGTCGAACGCTCCCGCTTATTATATACAAAGTCATCCTCAGTCTCGCAGTCAAATCCTACCCCATTGTCTGAGGCCATCTTTAAAGACGTGGGGCTTTTAGGAGGGCTGGTGGGAAGGAGCGCCATTGTAGAGCACCTTTGCGTTTTGGCTTTGCCCCCTGGGATGATGTGCCCATCTCTGAGTCCGTGGGCACAGCTGGTGTCGGCGACTGTTGATGATGTCATCTCCTCTACGAGACAGAAGGCGAAGCTGCCCGTAGTGACTCTTATGGGGGAAGATGGGACTGAGGATGCTGAGCCTGACACTTTGGCTCTTACAGCATCCTTTACTCTATTATCACTTAAGGAGGTACCAGAGTAGAGCAAGCCCTGAAACCAGTTCTTGCCCCCACCTGGTAGTGTCCTTGCATTACACAGAGGAGACAACTCCTGCGACTCCAACTCCATGACACTCCTGCGTACATCTGTACCATGATGTACTACAGTACCCACAATGCTCTGTGTAACATATCCTGTTTTATCCGCTGTGTACGTCTGAGGTGAGATCCCTGCTCTCTGGACTGGCGTGTTACTGTCAGGATCACTGCAGACTACTGTGATCGGTTTGCTTTGGCTGCAGCACAGTCCACAAGGCACAAGGCCCTTCCTGCGGCTTACGCCATAGCAGCAGCCTGAAGGTTTACTGGCAGGCCGCACAGTCACACACTCTCTCTGCCTCGATCCAGCATCCAGAGACTCCACTGCACGGCAGCCATTGCTGGAGTGTTTATCCGGTGGTGATGGCGGTGGCGGTGCATCTGTGTCACCAGAGTGTAATTTAACTTGAACTCTCTGCTGGTCCCTATGTGGGTTCCTGGGCCTCACAGTCCCATGATCTATCTTCTCGGCACGTGTCTCAGTCCCGTCTGTGTTGCTGGTAGAGAATTCCTCCAACATCATGCCGGCCCGCCTGCCTTTCTGTGTCTTCCTCCTTGTCGGTTTTCAGAGACGTCAGAGCGAGAGGTGGGTGCAGGTGGTCCACAACAGCTGTGAACACCAGCAGAATAGAAGTATTTTGTCAACGCTGCATGTTGTCCAGGAAATGCATCCCTCTGTGCACACTTAGAGATTGACTTTGCTGCTGTGCCAGCCAGGTAGACACATCCCTCGTCAATCTGCAGGGGACAGCAGCAGAACCCAAGTTAGCTGAAAAATAGAACACACAAAAACAGTTTAGTGCTGAAGACCATCCCAAGCCAACAAATTAGATTGTGTCCTAATGATATCTATTGCACTCGGAATACAAAAAAAAATCACAACAAGATAATTACAGTATTATTAGCTGTAGTGAGAGGGTTGAAGTTGCAGTGCCAAGTTGTCACTGGATACAATGCACCATGACCTGTGAAAGGGAAGTGACTATGATGTGATGATTGAAGGCAGATGAACCATACAATCAGTCTTCCCCTCAGTTTCCCTGCTTATGGCCAAACACTTTTCCTGCCTATGGCCAAACAATGTGAGAAAACATTAAGACCGGATTATGAGGTAACTGTAACAGAGCTCTGTCCAGTGACCTACATGCATTAAAGCTCCTAAAGTGGTGAATGAAAAATAGTTAAGAAAGTATTGTACCCCATTCTCTTCTGCTACAGTATAACAATGTAAAACCCTGCATTATCAATGGTCTACTCGCCGACATATCACATGAAAACCTTATTAGAATAATCGAAAGTCACAAGACTGAAACTTCTCAACCTTTTCAGCCTGTGGTCTTGTTGAACGGTTAGGTTTTCCTTACCTTTGTGGGAAAGGTTGGCGTTTCTCTCTCCAGATTCAGTTCCAGCGGACCAGATGTGTCCCAGTTCCCTCTCTATCCACAGTAGGCTATAAGAAAATAGGGGGATTGGGAGGAGAGGAAAAGAGTGATGAGGGGAGAGGGAGAGAGGAAAAGAGAGGGATCTGGGAAGAGGGGGAAAGGGGGGAGCCACAGAAACAGGGATCTCACCGGGCAGGGCTCCTTTTACAGAACTTGGCAGGACAACAAGCTGAAGCTTTTTTCAGTTTTTCCCCTTTTTTACTCACAGCTCACTGGATTATTTTGCAATCACACTGGACAGGACCTAATACTAATACCTTCACAGCTTTTAAAGTGGCAGTCACTTAAATAGCCTTGCTTTTATACTCCTATTTATTCAATCTGAAATTTGTACCATCACCATCACGTCAATATGAGTTTACAATCAATCATATGAGTTGCCCATTCAGAAATTAAACAAATAGATGTTTCCATTTTTTATGTCACGTGCACAAGTACAGTGAAATGTCTGTCTTGCTAGCTCCAACAGTAATCAATAAAGCATTAAACAGTAGAACAAAACCATACAATAAATAATAATAATAAGAAATAAGAAAAATACGAGAAAGTAAGACGCTACAGTGGGGAGAACAAGTATTTGATACACTGCCGATTTTGCAGGTTTTCCTACTTACAAAGCATGTAGAGGTCTGTAATTTTTATCATAGGTACACTTCAACTGTGAGAGACGGAATCTAAAACAAAAATCCAGAAAATCACATTGTATGATTTTTAAGTAATTAATTTGCATTTTATTGCATGACATAAGTATTTGATCACCTACCAACCAGTAAGAATTCCGGCTCTCACAGACCTGTTAGTTTTTCTTTAAGAAGCCCTCCTGTTCTCCACTCATTACCTGTATTAACTGCACCTCTTTGAACTCGTTACCTGTATAAAAGACACCTGTCCACACACTCAATCAAACAGACTCCAACCTCTCCACAATGGCCAAGACCAGAGAGCTGTGTAAGGACATCAGGGATAAAATTGTAGACCTGCACAAGGCTGGGATGGGCTACAGGACAATAGGCAAGCAGCTTGGTGAGAAGGCAAAAACTGTTGGCGCAATTATTAGAAAATGGAAGAAGTTCAAGATGACGGTCAATCACCCTCGGTCTGGGGCTCCATGCAAGATCTCACCTCGTGGGGCATCAATGATCATGAGGAAGGTGAGGGATCAGCCCAGAACTACACGGCAGGACTTGGTCAATGACCTGAAGAGAGCTGGGACCACAGTCTCAAAGAAAACCATTAGTAACACATTACGCCGTCATGGATTAAAATCCTGCAGCGCACGCAAGGTCCCCCTGCTCAAGCCAGCGCATGTCCAGGCCCATCTGAAGTTTGCCAATGACCATCTGGATGATCCAGAGGAGGAATGGGAGAACGTCATGTGGTCTGATGAGACAAAAATATAGCTTTTTGGTCTAAACTCCACACGCCATGTTTGGAGGAAGAAGAAGGATGAGTACAACCCCAAGAACACCATCCCAACCGTGAAGCATGGAGGTGGAAACATCATTCTTTGGGGATGCTTTTCTGCAAAGGGGACAGGACGACTGCACTGTATTGAGGGGAGGATGGATGGGGCCATGTATCGCGAGATCTTGGCCAACAACCTCCTTCCCTCAGTAAGAGCATTGAAGATGGGTCATGGCTGGGTCTTCCAGCATGACAACGACCCGAAACACACAACCAGGGCAACTAAGGAGTGGCTCCATAAGAAGCATCTCAAGGTCCTGGAGTGGCCTAGCCAGTCTCCAGACCTGAACCCAATAGAAAATCTTTGGAGGGAGCTGAAAGTCTGTATTGCCCAGCGACTGCCCCGAAACCTGAAGGATCTGGAGAAGGTCTGTATGGAGGAGTGGGCCAAAATCCCTGCTGCAGTGTGTGCAAACCTGGTCAAGACCTACAGGAAACGTATGATCTCTGTAATTGCAATCTCTGTACCAAATATTAAGTTCTGCTTTTCTGATGTATCAAATACTTATGTCATGCAATAAAATGCAGTTGAAGTGTACCTATGATAAAAATTACAGACTACATGCTTTGTAAGTAGGAAAACCTGCAAAATCGGCAGTGTATCAAATACTTGTTCTCCTCACTGTATATAAAGAGTCAGTTCCATATTTACAATGTGCATGGATACTGGTGTGATGGAGGTAGATTTGTATAGGGGTAAGGTGACTAGGCATCAGGATATATGATAAACATACTAGCAGCAGCGTAAATTATGATTGTTTGTGAGTGTGTGTGCATGTGTGCGTGTGTGTGTAGAGTCAGTATAAATGTGTGTGCATGTTATGTGTGTGTTGGAGTGTTCTTATCTGCTTATGCATTCTCATTTTGATGCCAAACCCACCACTGGTGTGTGTGTCTTCCAACAAATGTAAACACCTGGAGTTTGCTAAACGGCATTGGAACTTGGATTGGAACCCGATGAAAAATGACATGTAAATCGAGCTCTTTGGTCACGCACACCAGTGGTGTGTTTGGTGTCGAAATGAAAATGCATGAGCAGAAAAGAACCCCATAACTACTGTAAAATATGGTGGTGGATCTTTGATGTTATGGCGCTATTTTGCTTCCACTGGTCCTGGAGCTCTTGTTAAGATCAACAGCATCATTAACTTTACCCAGTGCCATGATATTTTAGTCAAAAACCTGGTTGCTTCTGCCAGGAGGCTAAAACTTGGCCGCAAATAGATCTTTAAAACACATCAAAATCCACAAAGAAATGGTTAATTGGCCACAAGATCAACATTTTACAATGGCCATCTCAGTCTCCGGACTTGAAACCTGTCACGAATACCGCCGAGGCTGCTCCTCCTCCTTGTTCGGGCAGGCTTCGGCGTTCGTCGTCCCCGGAGTACTAGCTGCCACCGTTTGATGTTTTCGATGTTTGTTTTGTCATGTCTAGTTTAGTGCACCTGTTTCGTATTCTGTCATGATTATGTCACCTATAAGTTTCCCTGTGTTATGTTTTGTAGTTGTGTGTTATTGTCCGCCTGTCGTTTGTTTCGAGGTTCGGTACTTTTGTTTGTGAGTGTTTTACGCATTTCGCGTATTAGTTCGCCTCCGGTGTTTTCGAGGCCTTTTATTTTTGTATTTGTTCAAGTATTCTCAGTAAAGTCGTTTTGACTTATCCTCTGTGTCCTGCGCCTGACTTCGCCACCGCATCCACATCAGTACCGTGACAGAATAACACACCATAACACTATGGAGTCAGCAGGAGCAGCGGCGGGAACCGAGTCGCTGGAGGATCGGGTTAGCTGCCAGGACGCCAGGATCCAGCAACTCGGATCCGCCATGCAAGAAGTAATGAACACCCTGCGCCGATGGGAGAGAGGAGGCTTGCCCACACCTCCTCCTACCTTACCACCACCATCGGCCAGCCCCACCATACCAGCTCCGGAGTCCAGTGGGATTCGGCTCTCGCTCCCGAGGGCATATGATGGCACCGCAGCCGGGTGTCAGGGGTTCCTCCTTCAAGTGGAGCTCTACCAGGCAACCATACACCCGGCGCCCTCGGGATACGAGAGCGTTTCCGCCCTCATCTCCTGTCTCTCCGGCAAGGCGTTGGAGTGGGCCAATGCCGAATGGAGGGGAATAGACGCCGCCACCATCAGCTACGCAGAGTTCTCCCGCCGCTTCAGGGCTGTTTTCGATCATCCCCCTGAGGGTAAAGCGGCGGGGGAGCGTCTGTTCCACCTTCGAGAGGGGAAGAGGAGCGCACAGGAGTTTGCCCTGGACTTCCGGACTCTAGCGGCGGATGCGGGGTGGAATGAGAGGGCCCTCATCGACCACTATCGGTGCAGCCTGCGTGAGGACGTTCGACGTGAGTTGGCCTGCAGGGACACCAATCTAACCTTCGACCAGTTGGTGGACATGTCAATCCGTCTGGATAACCTGCTGGCCACCCGCGGACGTCCAGAGTTGGGGCCGTCCATTCCATCCCCCAGCACCTCCGAGCCGAGCCCTATGGACCTCGGGGGTGCTGGCGCTAGAGAGAGGAGGAGAGAGATTCCAAGGGAGGCCGTCCCCTGCACCAACTGTGGTCGTAGAGGACACACTGCGGCTAGGTGCTGGGGAGGGT